GAATAATCCACACTCTAACAAGAAAGAACTAGCTTTGATATGAAAGATGACTGTAGTCTTGAGAAACTATCAAGAATTTAGAATACTGACTGGAAATCTAAACAAGAAGCTTAAGAAGAATTAGCAAGAACTAGATTAATCAGTTGAGTACAAGAACAACACTAGAGAGGTGAGCTAGAGCTCCAAGAGGTATATTGTTGAGACTAAGGATCCCCTCAATCTCAATTCTTATATATACTACAAGGTAGGAAGCTTCTCAAGCAGCTTCTACAAGCTAGGAAGCTTTTCAAGTAACTTCCACAAGCTTGAAAACTTTTCAAGTAGCTTCTACAAACTACAAAGCTTCTCTAAAACCTTTTAGAATCTTCTACAACTTCCTAGTGTATGTCCTTGACAAAATGTAAAGTAAGATGTTTGCTTGGCCTTCAATTTGAAAACTTCTACAAGAATTACGACCAATGCTTGAATGATTGCATGGTGGTATTTGTAGTCCTATTTATCTAATATCTAGTCTATTTCATTATTTTTTAGTCTTTGTTGATGCATCAAGCAAACAATTACATGTTTCATTATTATCTATCTAAAATATGGTGTTTACCAATCTTATATCTATGTTTATTTTTTTTTGGCACATTTTCTTAATTATCCTATAAAAAAATTACGTATGAACAATGCAAAAGAATTTGCATCAAAGTCTTTTAAAAACTATTATATTACAACAAGGATTAAATTGAAATATTTGATTTTATATAAATATGATCAAAATGGACTTACAAAGTCATTTATAAAATGTATACAATTCATTACCTGCCCACTCCTTCTTCAATCAAATTTACCTGCATCTATGTGGGATCATGCAATTTTGTATGTTGCAATATTAATATGTCTTTGTCATTCTTTTCTTGAAATTATTATACTACAAGAGTTCATTTTAGATCATGTTCCTAATATATCTCACCTACAAGTATTTGGTTGCCGTGCTTGATTTCTAGTACTAGAACCTCAATGATGTATCATTAGAATTCATTGTCAAAAAGGCATATATGTTGGTTTTGATTCACCAAGTAATATTTGGATTGTTGATCTATCAACTAATACATTATTATGTATATATTTTTAAAATTTTCATTTTCAAGAGAATATATTTCTATCTCTTTAAAAAAGAGTATTTAATCAATAAAGAAATAAAATAATTATATTTGGAGTACCAAAAATATTTACAATGAATCTTGTTCTTATAACATCTTTAGCTGAAATTTAAGTTGTCAAGATTTTATATCTAAAATAGACTGGAGATGAAACACTTGATGGATTCAATGATGTGCCTTGGATTACAAGAATCTTCATTAATGAAGCTTAGAATATACTTGCTCAGATTGCAATACCACCAACTAATATTTTTTAGGTTATAACATTAAAAATCAAAATGACTCAAAGACTAAATAAGCAATGACATAAAAAAATAAAAATTGTAACATTTGTTGATTCTAATATTATTTTTGTAGAAGTTCCTAGTAAATCTACAAAACCATCAATTAATGATGATATGTCCATGCAAATTATATCTTCACCTTATGCAATAGAAAATCTTGAAATTAGTAGGAATAAAATCAAATTAAATATAGATTTATCTATTTTATATTCTACTATAAATGACATTTGAAATAGACCATCTATTGCAATAGATGAATCATTTGCATATATGATTGCAAAAGCTCTTTTTTACAAAGAAGAGGATCCTAAACCTCAAACTATCAAAAAAGTAATGCATCACTTTGATTGATTAAAATGGAAAATTGCCAATAAAGAAGAATATGCTTCTTTGTATAAGAGAAAAGTCTTTGGTCCAATTGTGGACACTCTTACATCTTATCTTATGGAATATAAAATGGTATTAATATGTAAGCAAGTTGCTAAGGGTCAAATAAACCAATTTTGTGATCATTGATGTATATATTGATGATCTTAACTTAGTGGATATTAGATCTACATGTATTGTAACTATTAACTTATTTTCCCATGAATTTGAGATGAAAATGTAAAGAAAATCAATTTTCTACATTGATCCTTAGATTATGTATCTCATAGATAATAACATTTCTTTCTATCAACTAACGTATATTAAATTAATCTTGTGGAGATTCAATATAATTGATGCTTATCTATTGTCAATACGAATGGTTAAACATAAACATGATAGTGATAATCCATACCATTCATGCAAGAAAGAGGAAGAAATATTGAAAAACCAATATTCATACCTTGCAGTAATTGAAGCACTTTAATATTTAACTACATCTATAAAAATAGATATTACATTTGTAATTAGTATTTTTACAAGACACAATGTACATCCAATACTACAATATTGGAATACCATCAAACATTCATTATATTATTTAAAAATCATTAGAGACTTGAAATTATACTATACATGATGTACATATCCAAAATTAGTTGGATATTATGATGCAAGACATAAATCTGATATTGTAGCAGTTAAATCTCAAACATGCTAAGCATTCTTAACACATAGAGCTATAATATCATGGAAATCAGTGAAACAAACTAGAATTGCAACTTCATCCAACCATGCAAAAATTATTGTCTTTCATAAAGCATCTAAAAAATATATTTGATTGCAATCAATTGACAAATTTATTTAGACAACTTATAGATTTTCATATGATGATTCTCTAATTATCTTATATAAAGACAATAGCACTTGTGTTATATAGATGTAAGTTGATTTTATTAAAGGTGACAAAACAAAGCATGTTGATGTAAATTATTTTAATTATATCCATGACTTGATTATTAATTAAGCACTTAATTTCAAAAAAATTAAATCTACAAATAACCTTGTTGATCTCCTTATTAAAGCTTTTCCTTTGTGTAACCATTGCCAACTTACTTATGGCATTGGTATGCGATGACTTATTTTTCTTGAGTAAGAAAGTTAATAAATTCTTTAAATAATTTTAAAATAATAATATTGTATTTTTTTTTTTCATCTATGGTTTTGTTCTTGAATACAATAAGGTTTTAATGAGATAGTAGCTATTGATCTTGCAAGATTACAAAAAAATATAGATTATAATTCTATACAAATTTAATGTTATATAAATATTATGACAAACAAAGAAGAGTGTTGAGAGTATTAAATGTAACCGACACTCCATAATATTTACTGTAATTTATAATAAATATTGCAGCTACAGTGTTTGGAATGTAGTGGGAAAAAAATATTTATCTTCATTCCTTTTCTTTATATACAAGAGACAACCACATCAATATACAGATAAGGAGCTCTCTGTCCATCTATACACTCTCTTATCTATGTGTGTGTGCATTACTTCCACCTACTTTTGTGTCTCTCTAAACATTCTCAACATTTCTTATACTTGTTGTCCTAGTATAGATGCAATGAAGTTGTCCCTCCTTCATCAAAATGGATTTGGTACAACCTCCTTCATGATGCACAACAGCAAGTGTATAAGTGTAAGTGTGTGTATGTGTGTGTGTATGTGTGTGTGTATATACATGTGACTGCATGTGTAAAAGAGTGTGTGTGGGGGGGTTAGTGTATTCGATGTGTCCTTTTGCTTGCTTCTTCTTCACTACCATACATAGCCCCCCAGGGGTTCACTCCCATCACTGCTTGTGCTGCTTTTCCTCTTGCCACAAAAATGGTGTGTGTGTGTGCCACCAGGTGCAGCAGCTGGCAAAGCTGCAGACAGGCAAGTACTCTGTGGAAGGAGGAGGAGGTAAAGCCAAAAGGAAAGGGAAGAGGAGGGAGAGGAGGAGGAGGAGGATGTTGGCCATAAATTAGGCATTCCTGGTACACACTCCCCCCCTTCTCCCTCAACTCCTGTTTTAGGATGCCCCACCCTCCATCTCATCCAAACCTGTTGCTTGCTTTTGTCATGGCCATGTTTTGAGGACATTCCCCATTATTGACTTTGTGTGGCAAACCATTTTCAAGACCTGCACATGTTTGGGGGGGGGGGGGGGGGGGACAACAACAAACTAAACAAAATGGCCATATGTTCTGGGGCAGGTTTACAGGTCTGGTGGGCCAACACACAGAAGCTGTGAATGGGAAGACCTAAAGAAATGGCAGAATGTCTGCAGTAGCTAATAACAGCAGAAAAAATCTATATGGGAAACCAACATCAGTTAAGCGACCTGGTAGCTGTAATTGGAAAGGTGTGTGGTGTCTAAAAGGGAGTTTAGTTTTAGTGTCTGGGAATACAACAGTAGTGTGACCTTGTGGCAGGAAGTGTTTTGCTATTCTAGAAGGATTTTCGACGTCTTCAGGGTTGCTGTATCACATCCACTGTTTTATGGCAATGTACACCCACACTCACAGATCTTTTGTTTCAGTGGCACTGTATCAGTGTGGGGGTAAAGCCTTTGGTTCATGTCTTGGTCGCGTCGTCGCAGATTGTACTGGCAGAGCCGACGTTTGGTAGCATTTAAGTCCGCATTAAAACGATCTGACAGAATCGTTCACAATCTGGAAAACAATGATATCTGAAACAGTTTCAGGATCTTGCATATCTGGGGGGGGAGTCACATGTATTGGTGGCAGAGAGAGTACCAGTGTCCTTGTTCGATGGATAATGTCAGTTATCAGTATCTCAAAATATCTGCTGTACGCATGAATTGTAGACTTTCCAACTGCTCTCTCCCATGCTTCACGTTCACACGTGTTTACTAATTGCTGTGTGTGCGTCTGTGTGTGTGCGTGTACTATACGTAATAATTTTGATGATGTAGTGAGCACACTTTGATGTGTGCCTCACATAGATAGTCACACTTATGTTCATGCCATCAATTCATGCAAGTTTCTTGTCGTAGAACTCCGTTCTGGAATCGCGCGAGAGCAACTTTGTTTCTTTCGAAAAGTTATAGAAAAGGGTAGATACCATTATTGTTGTGATTCACAACAGATTGTTCTTATAAGTGTATGACATCATTCACCGCAAGCATCTGGATACTGAAAGAATCAGATAGTTTGATGTGAGGCTGTGTGATCCTACTAGCATACCCTCCGATCTTCCCAAAAATAAAAGTGCTGGCATATACCAGCCGCGTTGATCAGAGTCAGAGACTTCAGGAAAATGTGTCATCTGATGCCAGTTGTTTTCCTCTAGTTGAACGACAGTCCTTGAAGTATCTGAAGCTCTCAAAAAGTGAATGACCGAAATTTGAACTAATGCCTGGATAATTTCTGCAACTGAAGTCTGTAAAATTGACCACCATGGGTGGTACGATACGCCCTATTTCGCCCGCTAAAGCAAGACTGAAAAGGAAACACCAAAAAGATAAGAGGAAGTCTGATGTAAGTATTCAGCAAATAGTAACACTTCGATCTCTGCCAAGTGGGTCTTCGCCATATGTTACATCTACCTAACGTAATGGCTAAAAAAGCTGCATGTTATAGATAGAGCAGAGTCAATGTACAGATACATGAATGAGCCGAACCGCGGAGGCACAGTGCAGTGCCCAGCACAATTCGAAGTAAACAGTTTCTGATCTATTCCTGGGCCAGCTTCAGCGGTATTTCTGTGGCGTTATTTCGCGACCGGGTGTGCAACTTGATGATGCTGGGTCAAGGACGAGGTTGCAAAAGATTGCTTCTTCTTGAGAAAAAATGCGAAAGAAAGCAAAGTCTCATTCTCCTCCACAACCTGCAGCACGTGGCAACTGTGACAACCAAAAGTGGAGAAAAAGAAAGAAAGTAAAGACTAGTCTGAGAGTTGACATGCTTAAAAGTAACTGGAGTTATGCTGGATGTATCATCGAAGTGAATTTGAACATGGAATGTAAGAACGATGTGCTGAAAGACATACCTGGGCAGCAAAATGTTGTGCAACAGCAGGAACAAGCTCCTCCTGGGGCAATACCAATTTATGAGCGATTAAAAATGGAAGGGATTGGTGAGGACACTTAATCCAGAGGAAGACAACAGATGATAAGTACGCACCTAGAAACTGACCTAAGTTACAAACTCTCCATACCTTGCAGCTGCTCGCCACTTCGCGGAGATTATAGACGCGTCTGTACCGTTTTAGGGAGGACGTCTGCTCATGCCACAGAGAGTCGTTAACTTAACACATAGAGCAGATTGAGACAAAGTAAATAGAAACAAACCAAAAACTCAAAATTCGACAACGAGAATTTCAAAAAAAATGCAACACAGTTTTTAACCTCCAGTTTTGAAAGATCGACTTGCAAGGGTCGCCTAGTACTTCTCAAGGAAAGTGGCATTTTTGGCTTCTGCTCATGATCCTGCAGGCCACTCTTGAAAAGTTAGTTGACCATTCAAATGAATGTCCGTGCAGACTTCCATGTGAAGGAATGAAACAACGTTGGGAGTAAAGCTAACCGATGAGCTGTTTTCTATCTGAATCTGACTGGATGCAGTGACGGTTTGATCCTGAGCGGGTAAGCGACCACATCGCTTTCTGTCGCCAAATTCCTGGGCATTCTGCTTCATCAATGCAGAAAACTGATGAAGTTAGAATCGATTCACAAGTAGCTGGAACACTACCCTAGTAAGCAGGGACACAGTTGCGAAATTGCAATGAGCCATTGCATTTCATTGTATGCATTTCCGAGGTAGCACGGAAGATTGCGATGAAAAACAAAAGACAGATAGACTCACTTAAAACACATGACTGGGTGACATTACCTCCCTACAGCTGGGGCACAGGTAAAACGCAGTTGAATCCACTTGGTTGCCTCCACTAATCTCACATTCCACATGCACCCAGCGTCGACAAGTCCGATTGTCGCAGCCTACCCACTGTCGCACAAACATTCAAAGCATCACACAGCTTAAGTACCTGCACTGTATGCACCCATCAAAATACATTGTGGATTTGATAAACGCACAATACTTCACGAAAACGTTCCTGGTATTCTGAAGTAGACGATGAAATTAATTTCACATAACGAAACATACTGCCGACAGCAGGGTCCTTCCAAGTACCTCCTTTCCGTCGAAGCTGTCGGGATCCTTTTCGCGGTATATTTGCACACAGAAGGGACAATACTTGCCCTGATATCCAAAACCTTGCATTAGAGTGCTCCCCTCTTTTAACTAAGCCCGATAATGTAAAGAGAAACAGATCGTCCCAATTTATCGCAGAGGATAGGCCATTCTAATGATAAGATGAGCGAGGGAGACTCTAGTGACAAGCAATTACCTGATCGAAGTTAATCTTGCAGGCATTACACAGAGTGACATGTTTGGGGTCCTTTTGGCTTCCGTAATTCCGTACATGCCACCGACAAGTCCTGCACTCGCACTCTGTGTGTCATGGAATGCCCAATTCCCCGGAAAGACACGACTCAAGGACTGCGTCTTCACAAAACTTCGAATCTACAGTCGAATTCGCAACTCCCAACAGGGTGGAGACATATTCTCCAAAATCACGATTTGAGGTAAGCACCGACATTTAAGCTCTTAAATTTTGACAAAAATTCTAGAAAAATGAACATTCGACTCCCAACAGCAGCCTTGAGTTCCGGAAGGTGCTGATTGCATGCATGAAGAAGATACGCGCACTTCAACCATCTCCACGGCGCACACACTAGAGATCGAAAGCGAGAAAATTGAAGATAGAGGAAGCGTAAGTAAACTCACGGTCCATCCCCGGGGGAAGTGCGCTTGCAATGGGGATTGCAGCAAAGCTGCCTTGAAAACATGACTACAAACCGAATCGAAACAAAACCACCATCTGCGCCGAAAAATTGGCTGGTCGTGAATCCTAGTACCAGAAGACAAGCCTCGATCTTTTCTCACGCAATCATCCCCTCAACCTCACTCACCCACTCAACGCCGACCGCCAATCTCAAAAGCCCTGCATTGTTCCAGCCACTTTCTAGTCAAGCTCCAGCAACAGTAGCAGTTCAAGGGATCCATGCACACGTTCCCAATAAAAAACCTCTCACCCTCACCCCCACATCAACAATGCACTCTCTAGACCCCACTAACCCACAATCATCGCACCCTTTCCACATCACCCATCGCCACCAAAGCTTAAATTCCTGCAAGTTCCTCGACTCAATTCAACGCACCCCTCTCCCCTACCCCTGCACCACCACATTATCAAATTCCTGTCCCAAGTGCACCAAATTACCACCCCACCCCCTCATCGTAAACCAACGCTTCCCATCAGGAAGCCAAAATCCCTCCACGAAATTCAACAGCAGCTGATCACCGCAGTCGACTTACAAGAGCTGAATTTATCACGAGCGGGGTTTAAGCGCTACTCAAGAGAGCAGGAAAAAGACGACGACGACCACCATGACCACGACCACGAGAAGAAAGGGATGACAGAAAGAAAAGGGCTCAAAGAAGAGCGCGCGCACTGAAAAAGGCAGAGGGAGGGAGGGAGCGAGCGAGCGAGCAAGAGAGCGAGGGATGGATGATATGACAGGAACCCGAAAGGCAACCTTTCAAAAAACCCCGAAATAAAACCACACTTCCAACACGGGAACCAACACCCTTATGAGAATCGTCTCGTCGAACAACCCACAAAACCAACAGAAACCAAACGAAAGGAATCAAGGGAGCTGAGTTGGAGGAGACAGAGAGCGAGAGGAGCTTCACATCCACGGCGCTTCTTCTTCTTCTTCTTCTTCGGCGAAGGGGGACGGAGCTATGCGGGCATGGGGGGGGCTATGGGGGCATCAGGGGGGGGGGAGCTATGGAACAATCGTGGCAACAAAGAAGGCCCCAGAAAGCAAACCCTAACATAGAACAGAATAGTATTATTAGTATTATTATTAGTATTAGTAGTAATAGGGGACCACGACCGGACCACGCCGAAAAAGTCCAACCTCGTCCGGATCCACGCCCATTCCGTGGGGGACGCGAACGAACCTCCGTCCCTGACCTACCCTCCCTTCCCGTCCGTCCGTCCGTTCCTCCGCCAGTCATCTAGTTTGTCTCTTCTCATTCCGTCCCTGACTAACTGACATTCTGTAGTTCTGTTCGTTCTTGCATTAATCTGATTCTCTGCGAGTCCACAACCCTGGCTGCTGCAGGATGAACGAAGCTTTAGTTCGTTCGTTTGTTCGTTCGGCCCAGTCTACCGGCTAGTGCCTGCGGTGCAGGTGAGGGGTGGTGGGAAAAGGGAGTGTGGCGGGATGGAGTTAAGAGGAGTGGATTTGTCCTGGTTGTTGATGGGAGAGGCTGGCGAGAGTCAGTCTGATTGCTCCTCCTCCTCTAGTGCTAGTTACAGTGCAACAGTAGTGGCACTTGTAGTGGTAGCAGAGTACTGCTTGTGTCTGCAGCACCACACATATTTACCGCCACCCTTGCTGCTGCTGCTGCTGCTGCTGTGTGTGTGTTATTCTTCATGTCATCACTCTCTTTTTGGTGTTATTTTGGAGGTAGGTCAAGTCTCAAGGGTGTGACCATCACTCAGTACGCTTCCCTAAGGGACAGAGTGTGCGTGGTTAAATATATATATATATATATATATATATTTATATATGTAATAGAAGAAATGTGAGTCCTCTATTGTACCCAAAGCACAATGTAGCACACCCCTCTCACTATGAAAATTCATTTGACTTCCATACCTGTTTCTAAAGACTATATGCATCAGAAAAAACTCTTCAACACAACCCTCCCAGCTCCCAATGCATTGCTCATCTCTCACCATGGTCACATGTAGAGTGTCAACTTTGCTTTTTTATAATTGTAATAGTGTCACCATATCTGCCTAGACATAGAGGATTATTTGTCCGACTTGCTTGTCACGTTTTGGATCATATCTTGTCCAATTAAGATCAAAACCTTTTAATTTGTCAAAAATGATAAATCCCAAGTTATGCCCATAGAGATGCCACTAGGCTCTCATGAAGGATCCATGGGCTAAAGGGCTCATAGGGAAGGGGTGCCCTCAACCAAGGAGGTGACCACAAGGGAAAATTATTGGGGTGATGATGAGGAGGGGTGCAAACTTTCAAAAAGAAGTAATTTGCTTAATTATTGTCCAATGAAAATGCATGTAGCATGTTTTTGCATGTGCAATGTGCAATTTCAGTGGATATCAACAAATATTTCAAGTGTAATTTGGATAATATTAAACAAAGTTATAGCTTTCTAAAAGTTGGTGCCTCTCCTTATTGGTACTTTTCCTTGTTGGTACTCTTTGTAGGACTCTTCCATAAGTTTGGCATGGTTACATCATCATACAGTTTATTATTATTATTGTTTTATAAAAAAAAATTAATATATATTTTGTACAGATTCAATTAAGTGAAAAAATTGGGAATAATATTTAGATTCATTAGCCCACATTTAATATAGTTGAATGAATTATCTAGTTTGCTTTATTTTTTGTATCCTATTGACATGAACATAAAAATTACTTGTTTGTCTAGTTAGATAATTTTGTATGATTTTCTCTTCACGCTGAGAATCTGTTCAAAATTCGAAAAATGTTTCAAACTAAAATTAGTCAAAACATGCTAATTTTCAAAGGTCATGTAAAAGGTTTAAGTATTTATGTCAAGTATAAATTTTTTTAAAAAAAAACAAACAAACAAACAAACAAATAAAAAAAATAAAACACCTTCGATATTAACTTAATCTAAAACATTTATCAACTCTCTCAAAGATATGTGATGACGTAAGTGTGTGAATATATATGTATGTATGTATGTATGTATGTATGTATGTATATATGTATATATAATTTAAAATAAACACACCAAAATTTAAATTATATTTTAATTTAATTTTTAAATGAATTTTATAATTTAATATCATTGTGTACATTATTATCAATATAAAATATATACTTGTTGTAATAGTTTTAACTAGTAAATGTCTTAGAGTTCTATTCTTGCAATCGAAAAAATAAGGGACAAGGAATAGAAATATGTAAAAAAGAACTTAATGTACAATAATGAAAAAATTAACTTATGTAACAATTTATTTAACTGTAGAATTCAAACTTATAATTTCTAAGATTATGACCAAAATTCTTAAGATCACTTGGTCAAACTATCACATTCAGAAATCCATAAGTTTTTACTACCTTATAATTAATTGCATACATCATGATAATAAATAAAATCATGTATCTAGCATCATAATATTAATATACTAATACTTCATTTAATAAAAAATATCATGTGATGCATGTAATCCTTAATAATATTTTGTGGCAAATTGTGTACTAAAACTTCATTGGATATATATATATATATATATATATACATATATATAATATTTCAGAATAAGAGCATAATATTAAAAATATTATCTTTTAGTTTTAATAGAAGTAAAATTTTAAAATTAAAAGATATTAGTAATTCAAAAAAACTAAAAAGACAAGTTTTTTGAAATTCAAAGTGGGTTACATGTGTGAAAACTTGTTTGAAATTGGAAATCAAACCATGTTTAATTCAAAGATGGAATGAAAGTATCAATAATAACACAACATAAATATGAACTGAGTTTTTATTCTTTGAACATTTTATTCTTCTTCTTTTTCCAACATGACCCAATTCTATTGTACAATAAACATGTTCCCAAGCACATAACGGTGATGGAAACTAAATGTTTCATCTCTTTGTCTTTGCTTGTGTGAGTGTTGTCTGAAGATTTCCTTTGGCAAAGCAACCTTGTCCCAGTTTCTGTATATGAATAAATCACACTTATTTTTAGGGTTTGAAAATTTTGAATCACTGTAGTTGTTTCTTCTATGATGGAAAACTACATTCGAAACAAATGTGTGTAAAATATATGTGGGTTAAAAATGTAATTTTTCAAGGAGTCATGCGAGGATATGCAGCTGCCAAGGAAGAAGATTCATTGTAATTTCAAAAATACAATTGCAATCCAGTCCAAAAAGTAAGTTTATTTTGACAGTAATTGTACATGTACATATATATATATATATATATTAAAATCCTATTTGTTGAGTTTCAATGGTACCCTAAAATACTATTTTTAATTATAATTTTTTTTATGTTTGAGAAATGCTTATGAAATCTCATTCAATATATTGATGTTCCAATTCTTTCTAAATTCCAGTTTCAGAAATTTGGTTAAATGATAAATGTATTGTAAAAATTCAAAATTATTTTTAGAAGGACAAGAATGTTTTCTTCCGCATGTGTTAGTCGTAAATTTAATTGTACAGTTGTAAGTCTACATCAAATTAAATTTGTGGAGGTCTTTCGGTCAAACCCTAATTCTTCAATATAAAACTATAATCACTCAAGACTTTTGCATGGAAAATTATAAAACAACTCTGAATAATAATATTATTTCTTTTCTCAACCTTTGAAATGCTGATAAAATTTGAACATAAAGAATTGATGACTCTTGGTTCACCACAAGCACTTTCACAATGATTTACAGCAAATTAATGATTTCAAAAAACTGAATGATAAAAATACACAAATAGAGAAGCTGATTCTGATTTAATAATTCAGAGTTATGAGTTTCAAATTGTAGAAGATTATAAATAAATAAATAAATAAAAATTGTAAAGTACATCGAAAACCAACTTCTTTCACTGATTTTTTATTCATAATTATTTACGCATTAATGAAAACCAACCTTGTGCACAAAATAGAATAAAATTTGTAAATTTCAATTGAAATAAAAAATTATCTGTTTTGAAGTTGCCAGCCGAAGTGGTATTTAATTGAGCCATTCTGCATCTACATTTCACACAATACATATATACACACATATTTATATCAAAATTCATTTTGAAATATATACAAATTATGTGTTTTTCATGTTGTCATTTTTAACGCACAATTTAGAACTTGTCTCTGATTTTTCAAGTCCTATCAACAAAATCATGTATTATTTGTTGCAACCAAAGCCTTAGTGCAATTAATTAAAATGTTGAAGAATAAAATTTAAAATTACGTTTAAATACCTGATAATTGAATTTAATGCAAATATTAAGCAGTTATTTTAATTATTTTCTTTCAAATTCTCAACACAAGCGAGATCAGGTGTAAAGGCAATGGATTTTTTTGAGGCCTTTGAAGTTGCTTTAGAAAAAACTCAACCTGTAAGTAGCTTCTGACATATTCTGTATATATATGTGATTTAAATGCTTTTAATTTAGAGGATTGATCTCATGAATAATTATATTACACCACAACCAATGTATGAAAATCATTTATGAAAATCAGACAGATTTCAGTTTTTAATTTGTTTTATGTACATTCATTGTACAGGAAAGCACAGCCTTTGTCCCCAATGAAAACACTGCAGTCATGAGCAATGAGATGATTTTCACAAGATCAGTTATTGCAAAGGCAGATAGAGAAAAGCATAAATACTCTCCATCTAAACAAATAGCATCATTATACACGTAAGTCTTTGGAAGTAATACATTCATTATAAAAGAGCATCAAATCAAATATACAAAAAATCAACAACTGAGACCAACATGCATACAAGCAATACAATGTTTCTCACAAATAATTATAATATTATTAATGACACATAATACCAAAATTTTGTATCAATGTCATTGTAAAAGCATTTTCATTGATTTGTACTTGTGACAAGTTTTTAATAAACATAAATTGATTTTGATATGATTGTTTGTTTGGTTTGGTTTGATCTGTTTTGTTTTTTGTTTTTTTTTTTTTTTTTGCAGTCCTACAATACAAAAGTATGGTATCATGCCCATCAAAACATACAAACACTATGTTCCTCCAAATGACCCAAAATATGATCACATTGTAACTCCTCTAGATCCATATAGTAAATGGAAACCACAAGATGTTAAGGATGCTATGAAAAAGATCAAACCGTACAAGTATGTGCAGCACATGCCAAGAGAGAAGACCAAAAAGAGAACAATAGAAGAAATAGAAACCCTAAAATCTTCACCTGTTCTGACATCTTTGGAGCTGGATGAAATTACCCCTAATTTGGAATCGAGTTCAAATAAATGCAAATTAGACCACACATCATCTAGTTCTTTGATTCCCAGTGAAGATGATTATCCAAAAAAAGTGGTAATAGTTTTACCTTCTTGGATCATATATATATATATATATATATGTTAGTTTGATCAGTTAACATCAATAGAATAATGTATTCATAATGTCAGATAAGTGATCTTAACTGTGTGACAGTTCAACAATAGAATAGTTAACTTTCTCATTTTAATCACCATGTGTTCTCTTTTCAAATTGCAACTTGGTTATCTCAACTCATGAACCCACAAACCCTAAACTAAATTCAAAGGGTTTAGAATTCTTCAACCAACTCTGAAACCCCTAAATTGTGTTTTTATTTTCCTCTCTCTCTTACTTATTTATTCTTGTTCCGTAGACATTATTCAAAGTAGAGATTTACCTTGCAGGTTTTATTTATGTTTTTTCAAGTTAAAAGCATACAAACCAGAAAAGTGCATTATATATACATCCAAGGAAAATACACTAAAGTGCTATCCTTTAAAAACTGTCTAAAAATGATAGAGGCTTTGGGATGGGTAGTTGAATTGCAGGTGGGAGCCACTTGATTTGTTTGTCCATCAAAGGCCACACCCCCTTTGCAAAGAGACCATGCCCATCCAAGCACCCAACTACAATGGATACCCCAATGCACCCAATGTGGTGCATAGCCCCAGAGCCAAGAGGAAGGCCAAGAGGAAGCCAGGCCTTGTGAGCGAGGGCGAGGGGGTCAAGATGGCTGAGAGTGCAAGGAGGTACATGCAGTGTGTGGAGGGGAGTGTGGACGAGTGCTTCATTGCACCTCTCCAGCCTGCATGGCTCACTCAAGCCACGTGCTATGTGGGTGCCTTCTCGCGCTACATGGTGACTCCCTCTGCTTACCACGACACCATGCTCACTACAGCTGCCGACATCAACCGCGTCTACAAACTTAGCATGCGCAAGGCCATTGTTGATTATGTTCTTGAGGTTGTGTAAATGCCTTTGTATCCTGTGCTTCTACTTTTGGTCTTTGTTATATAATTCTATAATGCATGTGAATTATATAACAATGTGTGTGGTGTGTCTGTAATTGAAATCATGTTTGTGTATGTATGTATGTATGTATGAACCTTGCATTCATCACTATCATGAACAAAGAGGATTTCGTTTTTGGTATTTGTTTTGCTTCTTATTCTTATAGGATGATGAACAAAGGAAAAGTTTACAATTGGAAGGGATAGAGGACATTATGCAACCAATAAGTACTGGCTTTGTTAGAGGTGACAATGTTGTCCTAATTTTGCCTCAATGGTGGCGAGATGCTGTGGCACATTCATCTAATGCACTCTCAAGGATTATGTTCCGGTTGGTTCCTATTTCTTTAGAAATGGAATCCATGTGGAGTAAGAACTATGGAAATCAACTTATGATTGATATAGAAACTCCTGAGATTTATGATCAAATGCCTCTTGATTTGAGGTGGTTTGTTGCTCATCAAAAGAAGCTTGCAAATGACAAAAGGTTTTTTTAACTCCTCCTTTGGATCTAAATTTGTGTGTGAATTTGGATTTGTGATGCTTTTCCAAGAGTTTAGATTACAACTTCAAGTTTTTAATTTTGTGTGAAATCTTACACAATGGCATCTCATGTATGTATGTATATATATATATATATATAATCATACACATAAACACACACAAATGAATGAATGAGATTCAGTTAAATTTTTATTCCTGCATGTGTTTATATTATTAAGTTGAATAAATTAAATAAAATTTTATTGCTAATTTCTAGAGTGAACTTGTGTTAAAGAATTTATTCAAACAAAGCACATAAGCACAATAATTCTGTTCATGGTTTCTTTCTTCTTTCCCCCTGTATATTGGATTGTTTACTTCCTTTTTCCCGCATGGAATTTCGATAATTTTTTGTGATACAGAGAAATCATTCTAAGAAGATGGATACCATGGCTAGCTAATAAATTTGTATATTCCATACCTTTAAATATGGGTGAGAAAGGATTTCATGAAGCTATGGCTAGACAACTAGCCAACCAAATTCGTCGATTGGTTGAAGAATCCATTGTATCTATGGTTAGGTTAGATATTAATTGCTTCAGAAAAGAAATAATAAATTTCAGTTCTCTTAAATATGAATACAAAAGTCGAATTTTACAAGATTCATTATTTAATCTATAACCAGAGAAACAACAAACAAAAAACACAAGATTTCTTTAGTGTTGAAGATAGCATGACATAAGATTCTAAAAAATAAAAACTAGAAAAACAAAATAAAATAAAACGTTTTATTTCTTCTATTTATTTTGGCAGGTTCATAACTTTGTACAAATTTGAACCTAAACCAATTAGTACTGCTAAAGATAAAGAACCTAAGCCCGTGCAGAAAGAATTCTTTTATGGATACAAACCAGAGGTGATAAAGCGTTTGTTTGGGTTTGTTCCCACAATTAAAGAGGGAGCATATTCTTCCAAAGACCATAATTCTCCCCCATTTTATCTTCACTTGAAAAATGATAAGGGCTTATTCAGGTAATTATGTGTTGCATCTCTTGTGACTATCTTAATTGCTAATACATTTTTCATGGAAATTTTTAGAAAATAAAATCGAAAAACAAAACAAAACAATGCAAAATAAATAAAACAAATCAAATCAAACCATGTGAACCATAAACTCATATCTTCACTCAACATAGATAATGCTTGCTAAGCTGACATTGGACTCTGTTTTTGTTTGACTTGTATATATTTGTCAGTGTGGAACCCTCATGGGAAGAAATAGAAGATGAGCTTGTGGGTATCATTGACCATGTTGTGCTCCAATCCGGGGATATTGTTCGAGTTGACCATGGCAAAATTGAACCCTCACGCGCAACCCTCCCACACATAACTCTCGATGATGAAATTGTTGTTGTTGCTAAAGACATCATCAAACAGGTTCACAATTCATTCTATACTATTTGTTTACTTATTGATTTATCATCGTTGTTGCCATTGTGATGCAATTGGTGCTTTGAAGTCATGCCTTGGATAATTTTAATGATTGGGGAGTGTATCATTACAAATAGTTTATTACATATTAAGAAATCCATGTTCAATATAACTCAAAGAGTATTTGTAGATGAGTAAAATTTGAAAGAGATGTGTGTGTGCATTTGTATTTAAAACCAACATGGGTTTTATTATTATTATTATTATTTAATATCCTAAATTTTTATTGGTGATTCAAATAAAGTGTAAATAAAAAAAAATAATGTAGGTTGTACAATCAAATATATCAGGACCCCAAAAGATTATGCATGGTTATAGAGAGTTTTTGGATTTGTTTCAATTGGATGTGAATCAATACATCAAAGAGTTTGGGATGTTAGAACAGCCTCTGTCTGGGTACACGGAGCAAGTGGATGAGTTCCATGGCCGAGCATTGAGTGCTGAAGCGCACTCATTGAATGTTATTGACTGCACCCTTGTCCGCTGCATTGTCACCGACTTCAAGCAAAGCTTCATTGACCATGCCACCTGTATTTGCACTCGCCTAAAAACACAAGTAACATCATTTCAAATAAAAATATATAAACAAATGACAACAATATATATATATATATATATATATATAACCCCTTTCATCCTCTCTTTCCATTTCTACTCACTTGTACCATTTATTGTAATTTTTATTTTTATTTTAAAATCTAATTGAAAGAGAATGTGTGTGTGATATATATATATATATATATATATATTTATTTATATATTTATATCTCTAGGAGTGTGTATGAAAATGCAATCAATGTCAAAATCAATGTTATGTCTTTGTTATGTTGAAACAAGCAAGTAAAATTATTTAAAAAAATAAAAATAAAAATAAAAAATCTCTGATTGATTAAAGTAATAATAATTAAATTCACCAACTATAGTTTAATTTTTTTACATGTAATCTCTCAGGTTTTAGAAATAATGAATAAATCGAATAAAGAGATTTTTAACAGATATAACAACATGGCTGATTTTCTTGCAAGAGACCCCACAAATACAGAAGAAGCAACATCCCTTAAGAAGTATCCTTTTTAATATCAATTCTGTAGTATTGTGAAACTGCATTTGCACCATTAAATTTATATTTTTGTATATAGAAAAAAGGATAGTAAATCATTTGAATAAATAAATAAAAATTAAAAAAGTTAAAATTGTACTTGAATTTTGATTAGGTTTTGGTCAGCAACTCTGAATGATATGGCTCTTTTGGAAAGAATGAGTCAAGAAAACAAAATCAAAGAAGAGTGGCTTGAGGGTGTTCGCTTTCCAATACCAGATATAGACTTTTCTGTAATTGTTGCAAATATGGAATGGCCAAAGCGAATTAGAACAATCCTCAATGTTCATCAAAAGAGGATTCAAGATGAGTATGATTATTATGAACAAGAATTTAAGAAAAAGCGCAATGACTTTCAAAAGCTTTTGAATAGGTGAGATCAATGACAACAATGATAATAATGATAATAATAAGTTGTGTAATTTGATGGTCTATCTTGTGCTTTTGTGATGTTAAGTGAAGGGAATCAAAGCTATGGTGTTTGGTTTTCTAGAGTCATGTTTGAATAGATGTTTTGTATTAGATGCTTTATTGTTGAAATGTTGTCTTAAACATATTTTTTTAAAAAAGAAGTAATAATGATCCATGACACCATTCCTAGTTAATATAATTGTAAAAATGGGGTCTCCATTGATATTATATATGCACTTAATTAATCAAATTTAATCTTTTGTACTTTTGAATTTTTATTTGGTGTATGAGATGCTATGTTACAAGGTTTAAGAAACAAACTAATCATGTCAAAATCAAAACTTCAAACTTTCAATTTTTCAAAATTTTCTGACACATATTTCAATCTACTCTTCTTGAATGTTATGAAGTTATGAAGATCAAATTAAAGAGTTTGACATGTATGGAGATATTGAAAAAGCACCTATGCTGGGAAAAGAAATTCGGGTGTGTAACTAAAATAAAATAAAAATATAGATATTTTGTTATTACATTAAGTTTATAATACTTCCACTTCTTCCAAAAAGAAATACAATTAGATGGCTTATTTCTCAATTATGTCTTTTATCATTGAGTTTGAATACCTAATTTGAATGCCATACTCAAATTTTTGTCTTCTCTTCCCAATTGTATGCAATGCAAGTTAAACATAAATTTAAAATTGAACCAAATACTACTTGTCCATGCTCCATTCACATAAACTCTCATGTATATATATATATATATATATATGTATATGAATGAATGAATGAATGAGAGAGAGGGGGAGAGATCAAAAGTTGTTGTTAGTTGAATATAGATAGTATTGGTTAATGAAGGGGAGATGGGTTTTTGGATAGGGCTTAGATGATAAGCGAAGGGTTGGCCAGTGCAAATGAGGTATCAGACAACATCAATGGCGAGGAATTGTTGTTTGGCATGCCTTTGAGCAAGTTCCCACAGATCCAAGTGTTGTTGTTGGCTGTGGTGCCCTATTTCCAGCTCTGGTCTATTGCTGATACTTTTAAGGAAAGCGAAGAGCATTGGATGACAGCCAAACTCAACTCCCTTGACTCAGAAAAAATTGAAAATGAGGTACACTTCAATCCTTTCCTCCTTAATCCCCCTTTTAGGTTAAAATTAAATGAGAAAGCTTTTCATATATATATATATATATATATATATATGGTCTCATGTGAAAAAAGAAACACTTGAAAAAAATAAATTCAATGTTCTAGAGGTATATTTAGAATTTTTTTGTGTGGGTAATGTTGGTAAGAGTTTATTGTCTAGTATGCCTGGTACTTAACTTGTGTAGACCAAGTAAACAATGTTTGTATGTGACTGTGTGCAGGTTTTTAATTGGTATCGAGTTGTATTCAAATTAGTTCGAACATTTGAAGAGAAATTGCCTGATCCATGTAAAGTTGCAACCATATTAAAGGCCAATCTTGATAGATTTAAAGAGACATTACCTTTGTTTCGGTGTTTATGTAATCCAGGTTTGATCAAATTCAATTAATAATCTATCTAATTTATTTGACGTTTAAGCAAAAAAGAATTTTAAAAAAGAAAATAATATTTTTAATGAAATTGAAACATTTTAAAATATCAAAAAGTAATGTATTTTTTTTTAGCCTGAAAATCACATCGTTGTATCTTTGGATTTTAAAATTAAAGTGTTTAATTTACAGGATTAAGGCCAAGACATTTTGCAAAAATTTCTGAAGTTGTAGGTTTTGAGGTGAAAAATGATGATGCTACACACTTCCGTCAGTTATTGAGATTGAATGTAAGTATTTTACAATATTTTATCATATATATGTATATATATTCAAACATGTGTGTGTGTGTAAAAATAATGTGTTGAAAAAAGTATGTAATGCTTCAAATGAATCCTACTCCATGACATATATGATTGATCAGAGATATTTTATAACTAGATGTGCAAACACTGTGTGATTTCAACCAAACACTTCAAATATCTCCTACAGGTTCATGAACATATTTTTAGATTGGAAGAGATTAGTGAATTTGCAAGCAAAGAATATGCATTGGAAAGAGGGCTTGCTAGTATGGAAAATGATTGGTTGCCCTTAACATTTGAGGTTAGCATTCACACTTTTAGCATGCAATCTAATTAATATATATATATATATATATATATAGGTGTGTGTGTGTGTATAAATTTACAAAATTTAAAAGGACATGTAATTTGGCCTTTTCACAAAGATTTTGCATAGATAATGAATTGTTTAAATTGCAAAGTTTAAAATATCATGTTAATGATGAAAATGAGATATATGTAATGCAGTTTTTATTATATAAAAACACTGGATGCAACATACTCAAAGGAGGCCCTATTGAGGAGGCACAATTATTACTCGATGAACATATTGTAAAAACACAAAATATGTTGGCATCTCCCTTTGCTGCACCATTTGAAGAACATTTAACCAAGTGGTTGAAATCAGTAAGTTTGAATTCAAAAACTCTAAAATCAACTTTTATATATGTGTGTATGTACCCACAAACAAAACCTAGACTTTATTCTCTTTATACCACATCTTGAACAAACCAAAATTTTACTTTTAAAATGACTATAACACACATAAATACACTTTGTATATGCACTTATTTGGCTATGTGTTTTTCTGACATTGATTAAGTTTGATGGAAATTTTACATTGTTTTGTATTTATAGTCACAATATTAATATTAGTAATAATGGAATGCAAGATAGTTTTGGAATATATTCTCACCTGAGAAAATTTGTCCATGTTTTGTTCTAAATATTTCAAAATGCATCACCCATATAATAAACAAAATCTGACACTGCACAATTTTTTGAGACATGATATGCTTGATTTAGTTTTTGTCTTGTGAAGCAAAAAAATCACTTTTTTGTGTATGATTATTCATGTATGATTTACATTCATTGTGGTTTTATTTGGCTTAGTTGGTGTTACTACAAAAACTATTAGTGGAATGGTTACAAGCACAAGCCTCTTGGATGTACCTGGAGCCAATATTTGGATCTCCAGATATTATAGAACAAATGCCCAAAGAAGGATCCCTATTTCATGCCACTAATACAATATTTTGTAAACTTATGAAGGATGCAGAATCTTTCAAGCAAATGATGGATGTATGTCTTCTGACAATCTTAAAACTGACATAATGTGGATGAGAATTCCACAGCAGAATTTGTTTGGTTTTTTGGAAACTTAAAGTTGATTGGGTATATTTTTTCAAAGTGCCACTAGATCAATAAAAATCTTTTAAGCATATGTAACATCAACTTCATTATTTATTGAAATATTTTTGTGTTGGGATATTTTATATATTTATTTTTCTTTTGTTTTTAACAAAAAAAACAGGCATGTGAGCTTCCCAACATTCTTGACATCCTAGTAGGATGCAATGAAAGCCTAGATGTGGTTCAAAAGGGACTCAATCACTATCTTGAAACCAAACGTTTGGCTTTTCCAAGATTTTTTTTCTTATCCAACGATGAGTTATTAGAGATATTGTCAGAAACCAAAGACCCACTTCGAGTTCAACCATTTTTAAAGAAATGTTTTGAAGGAATAAATGCATTGACATTCCAAGAGAACTTGGACATCACTCACATGTGGAGTGTAGAGAAGGAGGTTGTGGAATTCACTAGGAGCACTAATCCAAAGGCTGCAAAAGGCAATGTTGAACGGTGGTTGATTGAAGTTGAACGCATGATGCGGGAAACATTAAAGGTTTGAAGTTCTCTCCAACATGTCTATGCTTTACAATGTTATAGAAACATCCTTTATTTCAACAACACTGTTCTAAATCCTCAAAAAAACTAATAACTAAATAAATATATTTTCCATGTGCCATGTAATAAACATGTAAAATAATTATGGCCAAGAGCAATGAAGATCTATTTTTTTTAGTGTTTTGTTGGTGGTGGTGAACCATTATATTGAACATTACACACCTTTGAGTTGATAAATAGATATTAAAATAAATTCTATTTTAGGTTTGATAATTCCACATCAAAAATTCTAGGTGTTTATACATAATATATAAATTAAGAAATTAGTTCCAATTTGAGATTAGAAATCATGGACTCATTATTTGGAAGTTAGCAAGAATTGGCAACTATTTTTTTTAACATTTTAAATGAATGAGGGATAGAGTTTTTCAAGTTTTTAACATTATGTTAAAAATTACATGTGTACAATCAGGTGGTGGTACAAAAAGCAGTAGCTGACTATGCAATTAAAGAGCGTGGCCAATGGATTCTCATATGGCCTGGTATGATTGTCCTATGTGGCTCACAAATGTATTGGACGAGTGAGCTTGAAGAGGAGGTGGATGTGGATGGTGTCAAAGGACTTGCTCGATATGAAGCAAAATGCACTGCCCAACTCCAAGAACTTGTTCAACTTGTAAGATATTTGGTTCTACATATAAAATCCTTGAACATTCTTAAAATGGGTAACTCATGTGTATGACACAATTTATGAATAGGAAAACATATTATTACAATTACTATGACATCATACTTTACACATGTTTATTGGGTTATGTAACTGAATGTATTTATCCATATATATATATATATATATATAAAAACAACACCATATCATGAATTTTACCCTCATGAAATCTATTGTGTGTGTATATATATATATATATATATGGATGATGAATGATATGCATGAATGTGTTTAGGTTCGTGGAGATTTGACCAATATGGAAAGATTGACCATTGGAGCTCTTGTAACTATTGATGTTCATGCTAGGGATGTTGTTACATTATTGGTGGAACTAGGAATTGACAACAAATTGGATTTTGATTGGCTGAGCCAACTACGATATGCCTTGGAAGATGGAAATGTACACATAGATTGAAATGAATTTTACAGTATCATTATTATTTTATTTTTGGGTGAAAGTATGGTTTTTTAAAATATTAAAATGAGAAGAAATTCATGCATTGCTTTCAGTTCTAAATTTTTAAAATTGGCCAATACTCTTCAGTTAAATCAGTTTTCCTAACATGCACTGCAAAAATTGACTTTGCATGAACTGATAGATTGCTTGCAAAGAAACTCATTCATGCATGAAATTTTAATTACTATTTGTTAGTTTTCTAAAGAAGATATGTAGTTCAAATAGAATGCATTGGGTTACCAAGCTTCTGAATATATTTAATCAAGGCATTGGACAATGAATACTGCCTTTAGTTTACTAAAAGATTTTTTTTTTTGTTTACTAATCAGCAAATTTTTCAAATTGCATTTAATCCTTACACATGAGAGATGCTTGGGTACATGTAGATATTACTGAATTACAAATATGCACAGTAAAAGTCGCTCATAATTTATTTATTTTAATTTTCAAAAAGAAACTACAATAAAACAAAATACAAACAATTGAACAGAGAGAGCAGTTGAATGAGCAAGGAATTGATCTTGTGGATTCATTTAATGAACAAAGTGGTGTTGTAAAGAGTGGATTTGAATGAATAAAAGAGAAAGGGAGTGGGTTAATGAATATAATTCTGAATTGACATGGTGGGGTGGGGCAGTGCCTAGTGAAGATGGTGAATGCATGCCGGAACTACGGGTATGAGTATTTGGGGAACAGCAGTCGCCTTGTTATCACCCCTCTCACAGACAGATGCTACCGCACCCTCATGGGCGCTCTCCACTTGAACCTTGGTGGCGCTCCCGAGGGCCCTGCCGGGACCGGCAAAACTGAAACCACCAAAGACCTTGCAAAGGTCACCACTCTCTCTCACACACATGCACACCCATCTTCATTGATTTTTTTCATTTGCTCATTCATTTACATACAATATATATGTAATTATTTATTCACTCATTCACTTATTCATTCATTTGTGAGAGAGAGTGTGTGTGTGTGTGGTGGATCAGGCTTTGGCAATGCAATGTGTGGTGTTCAATTGCTCAGATGGGTTGGATTACTTGGCGATGGGGAAGTTCTTCAAGGGACTGGCGGCATCGGGAGCATGGGCGTGCTTTGATGAGTTCAACCGCATTGACGTGGAGGTGTTGTCTGTGATTGCACAACAAATCCTGACAATCCAAAGGGCGATCATGGAGAAGGTTTCTCACTTCATGTTTGAAGGGACATACCTGCCGCTCATCCCCACCTGCACCAGCTTCATCACCATGAACCCTGGTTATGCAGGGCGAGCTGAGCTGCCTGATAACCTCAAGGCCTTGTTTCGCACTGTGGCCATGATGGTCCCCAATTATGCCATGATAGGGTATTTATTGGAAAAAAAACTCATTCCTTCCTTCTGTCTCTCATGGGCAGGAAGAGAAAAATAAAAATAAAAATAAAGTATAGTAAAGAAACGAAAAAACATAACAGTTGTATAATTCAACAAAATCATGGGTCTCTTGAATGTTGTGAATTGACCACTTAGAATCATTTTTTAAGTGTGTATGTGTGTGCAATGAACTGAGTATTTGGGTTATTATGATTATTATTATTATTGCATATGTAAATTTGTATAATATTCAGGTATGAACTATGAAATAGAAATAATGTGATAAAGTGGTTACATATATATATATATATATATATATATATAGATAGATAGATAGATATTTATTGAAAATACAAATCAACTAGATGCTTAAAACACTCTGTGTTGTGTCTTGTGTGTTTAGTAAATATTCCTTTATTTATATGTACATAGTTTTCATTTGAAACGAATTCATAATATTCATGAAAAAATATGCCTGTATTGTGTTGGTGATCAATAGTGGAAAATAATTGCAAGTGGTGGGGGTATTTCAATGTTGCTAATATTTTCATTGGGAATTTTGGTTCTTTGAAAGTAGAGGGTGCAGATGATTTGTTGATGCATTGTTTCTGTTGATGCATTCTTGCAGTGAAATAACATTATACTCCTTTGGATATCTTGAAGCACGAGATATGGCAAGGAAACTAGTAGCCACGTATAAACTTTGTAGTGAGCAATTATCATCTCAGGTTATAAATTGGCAAACAAAATTTTAAAAATTTAACATACTATTTTTTATGATATATAATAGTAATAGTAATAAGCTCCAACTTTAGAGGTTCCTACCCTCAGAAAATGATTTGAAACCCTTGTAACAACACTGTTGAAAACATTAACGCCTCCTGGGCATCCCTTAGAAACAATTCATGTGATTTATGGGTGCAAAACTTGGTTAAAATTCTAAAAACTAAAGAAGAAAACCTACATGCTGCATATTCAAAGACTACAAAACCATGTTCAAATGCTACAAGAATAAATAGATTTTTTTCAATCAACTTCATTGTGTCATCAATAATGTTTCTATACAGTGCAAACATTTTAACAACAAATAAAGATAAATAAGAATGTAGACAAAGTTAGAATGCTTATTTTTCAATGGTGGAGTGTTTACATGTGAATAATTGCATGTTTTTCTATATATATATATATATATATATGTATATATGTATACTAACTGCAGTAATTATAATGGTAAAGGATCACTATGATTATGGCATGCGAGCGGTGATAGCTGTGCTAAGGGCAGCAGGAAATCTGAAGCGGAGGTATCGAGACGACGATGAATCTGTTTTGGTTCTCCGTGCAATTCGTGATGTAAACTTACCAAAGTTTCTGTCTCATGACATACCAATGTTTGAAGGCATCATGTCAGATCTCTTCCCAGGAGTGGTACATTCTACAAAACCTCATTCTATTTCCTTTCTCCCCTTTCATCTCTACTTAATGCAATTACTTTGTGATATCTTTAAAGAAAAAGAAAAAAACATTCACAATACCATTTCCTAGTTGCAAAGTAGAATCTAACACTCTATCTTTTGGGTATGAATGTGAGTGCATATATATATATATATATATATCTGTGTGTGTGTGTGTGTGTGTGTATTAAGATTTCAACAATACAAAATCAGCTAGAAAAAAGATAAACAATACATAAAAGTTGTAAAATTAAAAAAAATGCTAACTTGATCTACGTGCATTGGTTTTATTAAAGTTACTACAAGTTGTAATACCATGATCTTCCTCTCAGTTTTGAAAGAATTTCAAAAAGTGGGTTACAAAATAACTAAACATTTAATCAACAAATGTGGTGGCCATGTCTGATAACAGAAATTGCCTCCACCAGACTATGTGAATGTAATGGTTATGATTAATAGGGAGTGTATAAAGTATAATTATCAAAATGGGGAGGTGTTCCTGAAGAAGATCCTCGAGTTATATGAGATGATAATTGTGCGGCATGGCCTTATGCTTGTGGGGTATTCGTTTGGTGCTAAAACAGCTGCTTACAAAGTGCTTGCAGATGCTTTGGGTGGTTTGTTTTCTGAAGGTTTAAACAATGAGAACATAACTAGGTAATTCCTTTTTTTCCAAAAACAAGTTTCCCTTCTCATTCTTCTTCTCCTTCTTAAGACTCAATCTTTTTCTTAATGAAAAAGTTAAAACCCAAACAAATCCTCTATTCATAAATCTATGCAAATATTGATTTGCCTATTTCCACAAGCCTAGTTTATTAGTTCAAGAATTTTGCACAGAAATATATTTCCAAAATTTGACTTCAACCTGCTAGAGTCCTAAGTATAATATTGGCATGTATAATATGATTTCTAGTGATATATCTCCTCCCCCCCCTCTTCTGTCTGTCTCAATTAAAAATGTTTGACTCATGAGACTATGAGAACATGAATCAGGTATGATGTTTTAAACCCCAAATCAGTGACAATGGGTCAATTATATGGCCAATTTGATCCAGTGTCCCACGAATGGACAGATGGAATCCTTGCAGTGACATTCCGCAACATGTCTGTGGATACAACCCCTACACGCCAATGGCTATTATTTGATGGACCTGTTGATGCAATATGGATAGAAAATATGAACACCGTACATTCATCCACTAATATCACATTCATTACTTGTTCAAGTTCTTGTTTCCATTCCTAACTCAAAACTACATTCACTGTCCATTACTACTTGTACCAACTATTTCATTTGAATACATTGCAACTTACATTTCACATTTTTGTTTTCCCCCCTGCTAGTGGATCAATCCTAAACACACCATCTACTATAGGTTCTAGATGACAATAAGAAATTGTGCTTGATGAGTGGAGAAATCATCCAAATGACAAACCATATGAACTTGATATTTGAAGTAAGGAGCATCCTACCTTATCCACATTCTAGGGCACACTATTCATTTTATTAGTTAAAACTACCAACATTACACAAACTTCAAGGGAAAAATAAACTGCTATTATAAGTCAAAGAGAATGTGTCCATTTTTCATGCTTCACATATGGGGTAGTAAACATAGGTACAAGACTTGGCGGCGGCATCACCAGCAACTGTGTCACGGTGTGGGATGATTTACATGGAGCCGGTAGCTATGGGGTGGCGGTGTATCCTTCTCTCATGGCTCCAGAGCCTTCCCCAACTTCTGCAAGACCCATATCGCACCCAAATCCAGAAGCTTGCTGAATGGCTGCTGCCCCCTGCCCTCCGTTGTGTCCAAAAAAACTGCAAAATGACCATTCCCATGCAGGTAGTATCATTTTCTTTGTGGTTTAAGATGTGTGTATATATATATATATATATATATATAGACACACACACTAACTGAAACCCATGCCGTTGGGTATGAAAAAGCTGTTTACTGATGGTAAATCGGAGGTCATTTTGCTGGTTAACGATATCTTTGATTTTGGCCTGATTTCGGCCAATGAGAAGGCTTCTTATGTGTTTGTCTCGTACCAAAGCTTCCTAATTGTGTGTGTGTGTATGTTTATATATGTATATATGTATATATGTATACATTGGATTGATAAAAAAACATATCTTGTTTTGAAACCTCTTCATTACTATGTCAGAGAGTGAGTGTGGAAACCACACTTCAATGCATATATTAAGTGTGATTCAATTGATTGGATTCTTACATAGTAAAACAAAATGTCATTGATTATATGACAGGAACAAAATATGATCACAAGTCTTCTTCGACTAATGATGGCATTGATGGAACCAGAGCTAACTGACAGTAAGAGCTAAATGCATATAATATTAAATGTAACACTCTTGCATGCATGCTTTTTTGACCACGGCTGTTCCACTGCAACTGTGAAGAATCTTTGAACATTGAAATGAAAATGAGTTTTTAGGGTTTAGTGAGCTTAAACATATCATGAATTTACAGGTGAGTATACATGTTTTTATTTTGTTTTGTTTTTGGGTTTTTGGGGTTTTTCTTTTTTCAAGGTGTCCTGCAAATAATATTTAAATGTCTTGTGAATGTTGTGGTTTCTCAGAATCAAAAGCTGATCTATATGATGAGAAAGCAAAAGTTGCTTGGGTTGATTGCATTTTCTTATTTTCAATGGTGTGGACAATTGGAGCATGCACTGATATGCATGAACGTCCTAAGTTTGACACTCTGTTGAAAAAGATGCTGGTGAGCTCTTTTTAATAATAAAAAAATGCAGTTCACGAAGTAGTTAAATACATGTAGCAAACAATAATATTGTAGTAGGTAGTGTTTGAATTTTTATTTTTATTAATTAATAAGACTTTAAAATTTAATCATCTGATTAATGATGTTCCCTACTATAAATGGTGTTGCTAATGTCATCATAGTTTTTGATATTGTCACCACAGCCCTACAAAAATTTCAATCAAAATTTATTTTATTTTTTGTTTTATTCCACCACAATATATATATATCATAGCAATATTAAAAAAATATATTTAAATAAATAAATAAACTAAAAAAAGTATGTCAAGTGGGTGGTGGATTGTGGAGGCACCAACAAAAATTGTGATGGCATTAGCCCTACCCTCTATACAAATATATAGTTGTGAATCACCGTTACAACTCTTTTCAACACTCCATTAAGAATATTTTGGTTATAAAAAAATATTTTGGATATAAAAACTATAAATGGTACATTAATGTATGCTCAAGTATACATTAAACTTCAAGTATATACATGAGCAACATTAATCTACCATTTATACAACAAAATTATTTCGTTCAAAACTAATGGCATTCTACATGGTTAAATAATACATATATATATATATATATATAAATGAACTACAGGTGAATATGCCACCAAGTGAGTACATGCAATGGATTGAAACACCTGCACGCAAGGTCTCAACCCCATTCCCGGATGGGAAATCCGTGTATGATGTGATGTTCAATAAGATGAAGGGGAAATGGGGTCTATGGACTGATTTGGTGGATGAGACCATGGTTCCCTTGGATGCTCACTTTGAAAAAATCATTGTTCAAACACCTGACTCTGCCAAATATACTTTCTTAATGGAGGTCCTTGTTCACCACAACTTGCCCCTTCTATTTGTTGGCCCCACAGGAACTGGCAAAAGTGTGTATGTGAAGCAATATTTGATGAAACTTGATACAGAAAAGTATGGAAAAACACATACTCCCTTGTTCCTCCTTCTTCCCCTCATTTGTAACCCACATGAGGGCAAAAAAAGTGAAAATAAAAATAAAATAAAATCATCTATTCATTGCAAATGATCACATGACATTGAGCTCAAATTTCCCCTACCATTTGATTAGTTGTAATTTAACATAGCCTTCAATGCAGATGGCAATCCATTTTTTTCAATTTTTCAGCCCAAACAAGTGCAAATCAAACTCAGGACATTATAGATGGCAAACTCATCAAGAGGAAGCCGGGCATTTTTGGACCCCAGAAAGGGAAACAGTGTGTGATATTTGTGGATGATTTAAACATGCCAGCCATAGAGAAGTACGGTGCTCAGCCCCCAATTGAACTCCTCCGCCAATGGATGGATCACCAAGGATGGTATTTCATGTCCTCCCTTTCACCACTTATAATTTATGGTGGGTACTTACAAGCAATAAAAGTTATCAACCTATTCATTCATTCAGTCTCCATTTTAAGAATTGTGTTGTTGGGCAGGTATGACCGATATGAGCTTGTGTTCCGCAACATTATTGACATTCAGTTTGTGTCCGCCATGAGCCCACCAGGCGGAGGGCGAAACTCTGTCACAAACCGTTATTTGCGCCACTTCAATGTTGTGTGTGTGAATGCATTCTCCGATCTCACCATGAACAGGTTGTTACTGTATCTATGACTATTGCTAAAGAAGTGTGAAGAAAGAGATTTTTACAACAGAAAATAATAATTATGGATTTTGGATATATATATATATATATATGTGTGTGTGTGTTTTGTAGTGATTTCTTTGTTTTTAAATATGAATTTGGATTGGATTATGTAAATGAATATATGGGTATGGCAGGATATTCCTGTACTTGGTAGACTTTTGGATGAAGCGAGCTCGTTACAATCCAACCATTACAAAGTTACGATCAGCCATGGTGACTGCAACTATTGACATTTATCAAACAGTTCAAGCAGAACTTCTTCCCACTCCTGAGAAATCGCATTACACTTATAATCTCCGTGACATTTCTAAGGTTTTGCCCTTGTTTCACATGTGCTGATATTTAAACTAATCTGAATCTGTTAATCTCATCCATCTTGCTACTATTTTTAATTTTTAATTTTTTTTAAAACATAAATGTATTCCTCTCATTTTCATTGCTGTGTTCATGGTAGTAATGTCATATATATTATGAACTTAAAGATTTTGGTTAATGACAATGTTATTTCCATTTGCAATACAACATTAAAATTCTGATTTTAGAGAGAAATAATAATAATAATAATAATAATAATAGCAATAGAAACAGAATTCCATGTTCCAAATTGAATGAATTTGGAGGTGGAAGTGAAATATCGAATATTTTCCTTTCATCTTATTTATGAACTACCTAAGTACAATCAAATATTACTGTTACTAATGATAGTATATTGAAATTGATCTGACTTTGTTTCAAAGTGAAATTGTATGTTATTTCTTTTATATAGATATTTTTGGGACTGCAATATGCACCCACAGAAATTGGGGATGATTATTACAAAATCATTCGATTGTGGGCCAATGAATGTTTGCGCGTGTTTTATGACCGTTTGATCAACGATAGCGATCGAATGTGGTTTTGTAACTTAGTGGGCGACATGGTAGAGAAGCATTTCAAAGAACGTTTTTCAAAGGTTTATGCCACTTTTGTTCATTCAGAAGTGAAAAGAACTGATTTGACTCCAGCTTTGCTTCAATACCATATAGCAGGAGATTTCATGGTCCCTGGAGCCGAGCCTGCTCTTGTGTGAACTTTCATCCACTCATACATCCATCTATCTGTCCATCACACCTCCATTACATTTAAATGAAATAATATTAAAAAATCTTTAGTGTAATAAGTGTGTGAAATCTAATTTTATTATTATAATTTTTCATTTATGAGTTGTCATTGTAATTTTATATGTTAATGTCACTCAACTTATATTAGTAACAAATATTGGTCTCGTTTTTTCATCATTATCATCCTCATCTATATATATATATATATATATATCAAGTGATTTAAGATCAAGGTAATACTAACATGCCAACTTTGTTGAAGGTTGCAGTACAATGAAATACCAGATGAAACCCTGCTTTTGAAGGTTATGAAAGGATATTTGGAGGATTATAATGAAATGACCAACAACCCCATGAATTTGGTTCTGTTTCAGTTTGCAATTCAACATGTGTCACGGATTTGCCGAGTAATTAAACAACCCAGAGGAAACGTTCTGCTGGTGGGGGTGGGTGGTAGTGGCCGCCAAAGTCTTGCAAGATTAGCAGCATTTATTCAAGGATTTGAAGTATTCCAAGTATGTCCCATGTTTTAAAATTGAAGATGTTATAATATTCCAAGTATGTATGTATAATTCTTAGTTTGATTTTATATATTTACAATAAAAAAAACCTATGGGATGCACTCATTTGACAAGCTTCAATGAAAGTGATGGGTTTGGTTACATAAAGACCAAGAATCCTAAGTTAAGGTTTTGGATTTGAATAGGAGATATAAACCACTGATGACATGGAGTAGTTCTATGTTATGGCTAAACCCATAGAAGTTTATCTAATCTACATTCTAGCAAAGTTTTAAAAGTATTTTTATGTGAAAGAATAAAGTAAAATCTCAAAATATTCATGTAAAAATAAAATAAACGTTGAAGTAGAAGTGATGATTTTGCATAAATATTTTGAGTATGATTCATGCAAAATCATCACTTCTACTTCAATGTTTATTTTGTTTTTGTTTTATATTTAGATTTTTATTTGTGCATGTGACTTATCTTGCTGTGTCAATGGAATATGCAGGTTGAAATATCAAAGAATTTTGGAATGGCGGAGTGGAGGGAGAGCATTGGAATCATGCTTAGAAAAGCTGGGGAGTTGGATAAAAAAACGATGTTCTTATTTGTAGATACACAAATTAAGGTGGAAGGTTTTGTGGAGGACATCAACTCACTTCTTAATACAGGAGAGGTAATTTAAACATGTACCAGTCCGAGTTATCATATTCACTAATTAATTAATGTTTAATGTTTAATCAAACAATTGGACCTTCTTCTCTCTCTCTTTTTACATACAAATGTCTATGAATGAATGAATGAATGATCTTGTAATCTTTTCTAGGTTCCAAATTTATATGAAAGTGGAGATTTGGGAGCAATTTGTGAAGGTGTTCGTCCAAAAGCCAAACGAGCAAAACGTGATGGCTCAAGAATGGAATTGTTTTCTTTCTTTGTTGATGAATGTGCTAAAAATCTTCGGATTGCTCTTGTATGTTATACCAATGAACCATTGTTGTGAATTCATTACTCTTAATCAGTGTACAGTTCTTAATTACTACATGTAAATGTAAACGTGTTCATATTCTGTATTCATTTGAATTATTATTCTTTTGCAAATTAAAGTGGTTGGCAATAAAAAGCTGTTAAACATTTTTTATTCATGAAATATATATTTCTTTTGAAAATACAATATCAGTGTATAGGTAGACATGTACTGATGAATACAAAGTGAAAAAACGAATTCAGGCATTTAGTCCCATTGGTGACGCATTTAGGGATAGACTAAGAAAATTCCCCTCACTTGTAAATTGCACTACAATTGATTGGTTTAGCTCATGGCCAGGCTCGGTACATTACAATTCTCTCTTCATCTATATTGATCATGTCAATAAAATTAATTTTGAACTTGTTTGTACTTATGTGAACAATTTTGTTGTAAACATAATTGATACAATTTTTTAAAAGAAATGTGGTTTTGCAGTATGCCAGAGGTAAAAATTATCAAAATCCAATCAACCTTATATGATTTTCTATTAATGATTCAAAGCTCAGTATGGATTAATTTGTATGTAGGCATTGAAGTCCGTGGCAACCCGATTTTTAGCGGATGTGAATGTGGAGCCAAAACTAATTTGTGAACTTGTGGAGATGGTAGTGTTTTTTCATATGTCCGTTCAGGTAAATTGAATGATAAAAAATGCCCTTTCAAGAGATTGATGTGAAAATAGTAGTGGCACACTAATTCATGTTATCTAAATAAATCTTTGGTTTGTGTGCAGGACTTGGCTGTTGATTATTTTAAAACAGCTCGACGATATTGTTATGTAACTCCCACAAGTTTCCTTGAACTTATATCCTCGTTCAAAGTTTTACTGGACCAAAAACAAGCTGATACATTAACACTGAAAAAACGGTAATAGTTCTCAAAATACTTCAATTGAGTCAGATTTTTATAAATCCACACATATTCTTTTTCTCAAATATAAGAACATATGTATGTATATTATTGAAAGTTAGAAGAATATGTGGTATTTATTACTATCCTCTATGTCCTAAGTGTGAGTTTCATAAATATTTAATTTTAAAAGTATAACCTTCTTGTTTGATTGTGCAGATATGAAATGGGTATTATGAAGCTTGATCAATCAGCAAGTGATGTTAATGCAATGTCACTTGAACTTGAAGGTCTTCAACCAATGCTCTTAAAATCTTCAAATGATGTCATGGAACTCCTCAAGGTTCCAATTTTTTATTTATTTATTTTTATTTTTATTTTTCCCTTCTTGAAACTTTTTTGTCTGATATAGTGGTTTGTAACAACATTCCATCCTCCTCTTAATTTTATATTTTACCTTCTTCAACATTTTCATCAAATGTTGGGGTTCATTGCATTTGCTTCTATTCCCTTGTTCTTTTTGTGAACAATTGTGCAAAAGGTTGATTAAAATGTCATATTCTTGTTGCAAAAACAGGTGATTGACAAAGAAACAAAGGAAGCCAACAAAGTGAAAGCAGTTGTGCTGACAGAAGAAGCAGATGCTAATGTCAAAGCAGAGGCTGCCTCAGCAATTAAGTTAGACACTGAAGCCGAGTTGGCCCTTGTGATGCCCATTTTAGAATCTGCTCTTAGGGTAACAACTATCCATCCCTACTTATCATTTGTTGTGGCATCTATACAACACAATAATAACATTCACCACAACACACTCATCTGTATTAAAATGCATGATATCCAATCCCAAATCTTCTGCAAATATTAAGGGTTTTATTTAGAGTTTTTCCCTTAATTTTTGAGTTTTTTTTAATTCTTTTGGTTGAAACTTGAAAGAGTCATTACATTTGTAAAACCATCCATGAAACAAGGTTGAAAATTCTCTCTCTCTCTCTCTCTCTCTCTCTCTCTGTGTATATATATATATATATATATATATATAAGATTTGAATGGCCAACATATTAGTACAAAGATGTCATCCTTTGGTAATTAGGGGTCAGTGTACACCATATTAATAATTGTTTTGATGTGAATAGGCACTGGACACACTGACAAAGAATGACATATCAGAGCTCAAAGGGATGAAGAGTCCACCAGCAGGTGTGAAACTGGTCATGGAAGCTGTGTGTATAATGAAAAGCATCAAACCCACTCGCATGAAAGACCCTGGTGGCTCTGGAAAGGCATGTTTCTGCCACTCACTTACAAGCCAATGCTAACCTCCCTCATAGAGAAAGTGAGAGGAAGAGTGTAACAATTTAGTTGATATGAATAAAATGTGAGATTTGGACTTCTTGTTCGTATATATATATATATGTATATATTTATACAATAAAATAAAAAACCTGCCTCTGGTATGCTTGCATTTAGAGTGAGAGTCAGTTTTAAAGCATTTTGGAAAATAAATTTTCTTACTCAGTAAAAGGGAAGTTTGATATTACCCCATGACTAAGAAAAATCTTCCATCCAGTTTTTAAATCCAGCTTTGAATCTTTTGGCCATCCTGGAAAGGCCATGTCTGTCTCATCAAACTTTTTGTTTGATTTCATAGTTCAAAACAAAGCTTAGCATAACTTTAAATTTCCACATTATGCTCCATATATATATATATATATATATATAGATACATTAGTCTGCCTATATTTATTTATATATTTGTAGTGTTTTTTTTTTTTTTTTTTTTTTTTTTTTTTTTGTTGTTGTTGTTGCTGTAGTAATGGATCTAATCCCAAGCTTATGTTCACTTTGGGGTGGAAATATCACACTGATTTTTAAAATCGTGGGAAATGACCACAAGGCTATGATTATCAAAATGTGCAGATGATTGAAGACTACTGGGAGAGCTGCAAGAAAATGCTTGCAGACAGTGATTTCTTGAAGAGCTTAAAAGAGTATAACAAAGATGATATACCCCCTGACATCATTCTTCAAATTCGCCAGTATGTCTCCTGCAGCCACTCTGGAGTGCAATTTTACCTTAATTTCCAAGAAAATTTTATGTAGTATTTGTTACATATAAAAATACTTGTGTGTGTGTGTGTGTGTGCAATAAGACAATGGCATTTCTTTGAAAGTATTTATTTACTTGTTACTGTGAAATCCTTCAATTTGAACCCTTAAATCAAAGTAAAAAAGTGATGTTAATTAAATTTCAATATTGAGCAACAGATGAGTGATGTGGGTTCATGAATGAATTAATGAATAGGTATTTGGCAAATCCTGCGTTTGCACCAAGTCTGATTGCCAAGATATCAAAGGCTGCATTTGGATTGTGCTCATGGGTTGGGGCGATAGAGGCATATGACCGAGCAGCCAAAATTGTGGCCCCAAAGGTGGCTGCACTACGAGCTGCAGAGGCTGAATACAATGAGGTTATGGCCCAGCTTGCCATAAAACAGGCCAACCTCAAAGTGGTGTGTATCTCCACTCTTTCCAACCATTTTATGAGTCCTTTAAAATTTATTTGCAATTTTTCTTACCATTTGTCTGGTCTTCTTCATTAAATAAATAAAAAAACAAAGAGGAACCAATGAGTTTTAGATGACTTGATGTGTCATGTACAGATGTAGAACATAGTCATGGAGTATTGTGTCCCCTACATGATCCTATTTTAATTCATTGTTTCATTTTCTCTAATCCTTGAAAATGCACCAAATAAATGTGCAAGATAGAGATCATGCAACCTAATCCTTTTTCAGCCTGATTTCAACCCTGGCCTAAATTCATCCCACATCTTACTTTTTGCCCACAAAGAAAAACATTGCCCAAATCTGCCTGTTTTGAGGCTTTACAGTCAAATTTTTGGATTTGGCAATACACAATCAATCAATAGAACAAGTGATCTTCCATATCACCCAAGTATGTATATATATATATATATATATATAAGAATTTTTGCATTAAATATTCAATTACAATGTTGTTGTTTTTGTGCAGGTGGAGGAAAAATTAGGGGTGTTGGGTGCAGAACTGCAAGGGGCACAGGGGAAGAAGAAGAAGGTGCTGGATGAAGTGGACTTCACCCAGACTAAAATAGACCGTGCCAATCAGCTAATGGCAGGATTGGGAGGGGAGAAGGCAAGATGGATGGGCTCTGCGGAAATGTTTGGCCAAATGTACATTAAACTCACAGGGGACATCCTCCTCTCTGCGGGCATGATTGCTTACTTGGGCACTTTCACTCCTTCATTTCGAGAAAAAATTGTTGTGGTACATACTACAACCCCCCCCCCCCACAACAACAAAATCAACAAAAACCTTCACAATATTCAATAAAAATGAACCATTTTACACATATTCAACTATGATATGCTCCAATATATATGTATACACCAAAAGCTTGTGCTGGTAGGTTATAATTTGAACCCTAAAATCTTGGGGTGCATTCCATTTCTGATCTACCTTTTGGTTTTCAAAAAATTACTAATAGTAGCTGGTATTGTCATTGATGTTTTTACATGTGATGATATAAATGCTACATAAACTACCCAAATGTTTCTTAACGTGATGTGATAGAATAATTAGCAAAGTGATTGACATTTTACACTAGATGTTTTTTTGTTTTTTGCTATGGCAACATGGTCTATTTTTTTGTTTGTTCATTTTTTAAAATCTAAGAATTCATTCATGAATACTGTTATATGAATAAAAATTTGCTCAAGGTTGCACATTTTTTTTTTAATAAAAATGAAGCTAAGACTTAGTTGAAGATGAGTACTCTTTGGATTCACACCCCATACAAATAAACAGCAAACGCTACTATTGCAAAAAATTGTTTCAACACTGAAAACATTCCCTACAATTCTAGCCACCCACGCTTCATAAAAAGCAACAAGTTTCAAAATGTTTAAACAAATAATCCAAAATCTTGAAGAAAGTTCAGATATCTATTAGGGTTTTCCATCCACATCCATGGCCATACAAAATGCATAATCCTCCAAATTGGAACATGAGCATGAAGCAAGTTTAGTGTGGAAAAGTGGAGATGGGTAGATTGATGTAAGCTATTTGTGGTGGTGATAACAAATGTAGGAATGGATGAGGAGCTGCAAGCAACGGAAAATTCCATGTTCGACTAATTTTTCACTCAGTGTGGTGCTTGCGGATCCGGTGAGGATCCGTGCATGGAACATTGCAGGGCTTCCCAAAGACCAGAGCTCAATTGACAATGGAGCCATTGTGTCCAAGTGCCGCCGCTGGCCTCTTATGATTGATCCCCAGGTTTATATTCACACACACACACAAATATATATGGATATATACACACACACACACACACACATATATATATATATATATATATATATGCATATATTTATCCATATAAAAAACAAACTTGTGTAAAACATATGGATGAATGAATGCTCCAGAGTTTGGTTGCATAATATGCAATTCTTTGATGTGTGTGGGGGTGCAGGGCCAGGCCAACAAGTGGATTAAGAATATGGAAGGGGACAAGTTGGTCATCACCAAGCTATCGGACAGCGATTTCCTACGCAAACTTGAAAATGCCATTCAAGTGAATTTTTTTTCATTACATTTGTATTTGAATTATCTAAACACAACTAGCTTGTATGGGGTTTTAGAATTAAGCATTAAAGCATTTGTGGGTTTCTTACATAGACTTTCATTGACACATATATAGGAGAAAATTCTTTTGTTAGTACATTGGGTGTTGGAGCTTTTGTACTTTGTAAACTACATCTACATTGACACACACACACACACACTGTTGGAATATGTCTGTTGGAACATGAGTATGAATCTTGTTAGATTGTGTATACACATGCATATCTTGTATTGATCTATTTTTCATTATTATTATTATTACCATAAGCATTAAGAAAATAACAACAATAATAAATTTAAAGAGTGGGAGTGTTTGATGTTATGTATGTGTGTGTGTGGGGGGGGGATGCATAGTTTGGAAAACCTGTTCTTCTTGAGAATGTGGGTGCTGAACTTGATGTGGCACTCGAGCCATTACTGCTGCGCCAAACATTCAAACAAAGCGGTTCATTGTGCATCCGTCTGGGTGATAGTATTATTGAATATTCAGACCAGTTCCGTTTGTACATCACATCCAAACTGCGGAACCCTCATTACAGTCCAGAGATTTCTGCAAAGGTAAATAAATTGCCTCTCATCTTTGAACACCCCCTCTTGCTGTGAGAAGGAAAAAAGCCAACTCAAGGTTATCAAAACACAACAACCCAACAACCATCTTCAAACATACCTTGTGCCTTAAGTCTTGTGCTTTATAGGCAAACATGTTTAATAAATCTTCAATGTTGTTGTACTTTTACTGACACTAAATCACAACACACCAATTGCACCAAACACTGCATTCCATAAGTACACTCATTTATGTTATGTATATGTCTATATCTAAAATTTGACTCTAAGTGCCATGCAGTGTGGGCTGTGGACTCATTAATTTGTGTTAGTTTCTTGTTTTGTTTGTTTGTTTGTTTTTTTTGTATTTTTAAATAATCTTTTCATTATTCATTTATCTATTTGTTATGTTGGTTGGTTTGTTGTTGTATATGCATTGCAGGTGACAGTGTTAAACTTTATGATCACTCCAGAGGGGCTGATAGATCAGCTGTTAGGGATAGCAGTGGCCAAGGAGCGGCCGGACCTGGAGGCACAGAAGAACCAGCTCATTCTGCAAGGTGCCCAGAACAACAAGATGCTGCAAGAGATTGAAGACAAAACACTTGCCGTGCTCTCCCAGGAGGGCAACATCCTCGAAGATGAAACCGGCATCCAGGTCAGTCCACAATTCTCTGTTTTGACTTATATATATTTATATATATATATATATATATATATATATATATGCACACACACACATACACTAATAACCATAAAAAATTCTGGGTGTATAATTGTTTTTGTGTGGTGATCACATGCATTTTGCTTTTACTTTGTTTGTTGCTTGCTTTTTTTTGTAATGCAAGAGTCCCATGTTTGTAATTGGTTTTGAGGCATGTGTAAGCAGTTTTGTATGCCCTTGTTTGTTGAAAATTCCTGATGACAACTCCACCCATCTTGTTTGTATGTGTGTGTGCACTTTATTTGTTTTTCTTCTTTTTTTTCATACAAAGAATAGGGGGAGGGGGGGGGGGTGCTAATTCATGGTTTTAACTATATGGTATTGCAAAGAGTGAATGCACATGTGGACTTAAAAATTATTATGAAAACAAGTATAATAAAGTTTATCAAATGTGGAGAAATAATGCCATGATCAAGACTGAGACTAAACATCAGAGGATTACGCATCAACAGGTTTTGTCTCAATCCAAAATTTTAGGAGAGGATATTCAAGAGAAGCAAAAAGTAGCTGAAGCTACTGAAAAGATTATTGATGCTACCAGAAACTCATATGTGCCTGTTGCAGTCACAGCCACCATTCTATACTTTTGCGTTGCAGGTGACTATCACACACTACCACACTAAAATAAAAAATAAAACAAACAAACAAACAAACAAACAAACAAAAAAAAAACAAAAATCATCACACCATTGTCCAATCCTACAAGACAATCTCTTAGACTTTGCAACATTCATAAATTGACAAAATGCAACTAATCTGTAATTTTTTTAAAGTTTTCCCTTTGTGTGTTGCTACATCACCCAGACACTTTATCATCATCATTATTATTATTATTATTACTTTTAGCAATATATAAATATTAGTGTGGATTTTTATGTTTCAGAAATGTGCAACATTGAGCCCATGTACCAGTACTCGCTGCCATGGTTTGTTGATTTATTTGTGTTCTCAATAGTACATAGTGAGAAATCCAATGTGTTGGAGGAGCGGTTGAAGATCCTCAGCGAGCATTTCATGTACAATTTGTATTGCAACATTTGCCGCTCCTTGTTTGAGAAGGACAAAATCCTCTTCTCCTTTGTCATGGCCATCCGTCTTGAATCTGCTCTTGGGAAGGTTGACATGGAAGAGGTTTGCTCTCAAGGAATTGGATATGCTAACAACTTTAAAACTAAAATTAAAAATGTTTGACATGGGGTTCTTTGCTCCATACATTCTAGGATATTCCTTTATAAGGTGAAAATGATGTGTTTGTGTGCTTTTATATTTATTCATATATATATATATATATATATAGTAAAAACATGGGTCTATTTAACATTCTCATTCATATATATATATATATATATATATATATAATGTTTCTACATATAGTTGTATGGGCAATGCTAAAATAGATTCCATGGTTTTGCAGTTCAATTTCCTTCTAACGGGAGGAATAGTTTTAGAAGCAGAGCCACAAATGCCCCCTTTGCAATGGATCACCAAAAAGATGTGGGGCGAGTTCTTCCGTCTCTCCAAGGTTAACTCACATTGTGCCTTTACTTTTATAAGCTAATAACCACCAAAATAAAATATATTTATAAAAACAAAAGTGTAGATTAATGAAATGTAAAAAAAAATTAATAAAAAAAGGTTGTAAATTACTCTTTGAACATGGAGTCAATGTATAGAATGGGTTTAATTGGATGATTACAAAAGTTGTTTATATGTTCTTTTTTGTGCGCACACATTCTTTTTCATCTTGTGTGTGCATGTCCGGAATCTTTCCAAATTCAGATGTTTCTTTCTCTTATTTTAGTTTATTTTAGTTATTTAAAAAAAATATGTTAAACATTTACCGAACAAACATGATTTTCCTAATTTTAAAAAAATTCGTAGTGTTGTGTTTTTCTCTGGTTCTATTGTGAGTAACATGTAAGTTTGAAATGTTACATGTATCACTAGAATGACATTGAACTTATAATTACAATAAACTAGAATTTGTATAATATGAAAACATCCAATCAAAATCTTATTATTATTAGTAGTAGTAGTATTATAATACAAAAGAGGACACTTAAAGCTTGGAATCTTTTTCAGAATTGAAAAAATTAAAATTGCTGAAATAAAATGCTCTGTTTCACATTGACACCTTTTCATTGAAAAAATAAATTGTTGATCCTTAATAATTCAGTTCTAATCTTATATCGTTTTTGTTGATTTTTGTTGATTTTTGTTGATTTTTTATTTTTTTTATTTTTTATTTTATTTTTTCTTTAATCATTGAATTCAATATACACACACACACATTTGTTTTACAGCACCAAGAATAAAATCATTTTTAAAATAACTAATTTCTCATTTAGCAATGAGTAATGATCTTAAAAGAGTAGAACAATATGATTTAATATCTCTACAAACCACAAAATAATACTAAAATTTTAAATAGAAGATTGTAGATTAATATCTTTTGTGCAAGTTTTTATTATTGATTTTATTTTTCTAAATGCAATCATCACTACTGAATTTTAGATTTTTTTCAAATAAATGAAAGTCTCACGTTGCTTAAGTTTTTATTTATTTATTTATTTATTTTTACAAACAGCATTATCTTTTTTTTGCAAACCATAATTAAGTATCTTTTTGTCCAAGGCATCCTCATCGCAAAGTCATTTTAATCTCCTCACATGTCAAAAGTTTCGACCCAAAATAATATGGAATTAGAGGAGAATAAAAATTAGAGCCATTTGAAGAATTTACTGGATTTTTTTTTTAACCTCCACAAATGAAAGGCTCTAATCAACTTTAAAGTTTTCAAAGGGATTGTGTTCGGGGGTTTCAGTTCTTTAAATTGCAAAAGTCCATTTGAAAATTTCTTCTTTCCATATAATTCTGTATGTATGTGTATAAATATAAATATAGATATATATAAATTATAAGTGTACATTTTCCACAGGCACTGTCGAACTTATAATATTATACTGAAATGTGGTGTATATGAACTTGGTTGAGTTAAACAAGGATTGTAGATCTAAGTTTATTAAAGTATTTACCATAAATGACAGTATTATTATTCAGAAAATTATTAATTTTTTTTTATAAGATTTATAGAAATAAAAATTTCTAATCAACCTTGGGAAGTATGTATTTAACTGGTGGTGGATTGTTGCAATTTGTATAATGCAATAGTGGTAAATAAATATTCCTTCACAAGAAATCGTTCTTCCAGCATTGAAAAAAATTCATAATATAAAACGCCCTTCAAATAAGTATCCACCGCTAATCTGATAGATCTATTTATTCTAACAATGTTTGGTATATTCCTTAAAAGTGCTTCATGTATAATGGGAACACTATGACGTGTGTGTGTTTTTCTTTTCTTTTCTTTTCTTGTTGTAGTTGCTGAAAATTTCTTCAAAGTTCCTTACCTAAGCCTATTGATTTTATATGATAATTTATTTCATAAAAGTAGGTTTGGTTCTCAACAACAACATTTATATTTTTATTAAAAAATTTATTAAAATTGAATATTTTAAAAAGAAAACAGATTGTCATATTAGACAATCACAAATTTCTTACCTCTTTGTATTAATGTATCATAATATTTCTAATAAAAAGTGATTTCTTAAGTTTTAATCTATTGATGGGTTTTTTTTGTAATTCAAATGGGTGTTGATACGTTACTTAAATTTTTGTTCAACTTCCAAAGTCACATAACAGTCATTATGTTTGTTGATGATTACATGTTATGATAAAGCTGATTTATGTTTGTGTTGGTTATTTAATCTTCTTTAATTACTTCAACTTGAGTGTAAAATTTCATTACTCTTGTTTTGAGAGAATGTAAAGCATAACATGCATTGCTGAATGAGCTCATTAATAGTCACTTAAATTAAAAATGTTTAGTAATTAAAATTAAAAAAGCACACTTTGTATGTATTGAAATCATATTTTGCTATGCATTAAATGAGTTCAACTAATCGACTGCTAGAAGATGATAATGTTGTTTGGTGGTTCATATATTAATGAAAGTTATTAATTATGCATTCCTTCTTAATTTTTGTGATAGTCTTGATTTTCTGAGGTTCCATTCGCTTCGCTGTGAAAATTGTCACAGATACGAAATTCTTTTACCAAGTAACTAAGCAACATCAGCTTTCTTTAACGTAAACTAATGAAGCAAAAAAACAACGTTGTTAAACTTTTGCAAAGGTCTCATCAGATATCTGATGATTCATATCTTGATAATCTCGGGACTATAAATCGATCATAATTTGCATACAAAACACCTCTCCTCCTCTATTTCAGAATACAGACACTTTGTTACCATTCTAGAACAAGAAAATAAACTCCATCTAAAATCCAAACTTCATTCTACAACAGTTTAAAGCGTTCAAGGATCTTCACAAGGGAATCGAATCAAACAACGACACATACAGTAAAATATTTGACAGTCCAATGCCTCAGGTATCCAGCACCATTCACCCATTTCAACACACTGAAAAAGCACTAAAAACAATATAATAAGAAAAACACAAAGTTTCCACAACTGGAAGACAACATACAACAGAAGCTGTGGGAGGTGAGATTAATGAAACACTGAAACACTGCAAGTTGATGCACAACAGGAGGAAGAGTGGCCTGAGCCATGGAACAGCAGCTTATCCAAGTTCCAGAAGATCTGTTTACTGCGATGCATTCGACCAGACAAGGTGCTTCCTCTGATCTAACTCCGACACTTTACCCATTCTTGTGAAATACTCAAGTTGATCGACATATTCATATGTGCACACCCACACAAACATACATGTATGTATGTATGTATGTATGTATGTATGTATGTATCTATCTATCTATCTATCTATCTATCTATCTTTCTATCTACATATATAAAAAAAACACAAAGGACGGGATTGAGTGGCGACGATGGGGTGCAGATAGTGCTGGCGGTGAGCAGCTACATAACGGAAGCGATAGGGAAGCAGTTCGTGGAGCCGTTGCCGCTGAATCTAGAAGCTTGCTACAAGGATTCCGGCAGCACGGTGCCCCTAGTATTCATTCTCTCCCCAGGATCCGATCCCATGTCCGCCTTGTTGAAGCTAGCCGCCGACAACGGTGCCAAGCTGCAAACGGTGTCATTGGGACAAGGCCAAGGTCCGGTCGCTCTAGCAATACTGAAGGAGGCAGCCAGCGATGGATCGTGGGTGGCTCTGCAGAACTGCCACTTCGCTAGCTCGTGGATGCCGGCTTTTGAGAAATACTGGGAGCAGGAGCTCACAAGCACCGACAAAGTGCAACCCAGCTTCCGGTTATGGCTCACCAGCTACCCATCGGAGCATTTCCCTGTCGCGGTGCTGCAAAATGCGGTGAAGATGACCAACGAGCCCCCGAATGGACTCAAGGCTAACATGACCGGCAGTTACCTGATGTTTCCGATCTCGGACGCTGATTTCTTCCAAGGTTGCTCGAAGGGTCCCACATGGCGGCGCATGCTCTACGCACTCTGCTTCTTCCACGCTTTTGTGCAGGTCCACCCACTTACTCACACTCACACTCACACCCAACTCACCCACACTGACCCCTAGCAACCTTGCTCGAATTTAGTGTTGTGCTCGCATCTAAAACACCGGAGTATGCTTCTCGCACCGCAAAAATCACCGGCTAAGGAAACTCACATTCTAGACCACCCTAACAGTGAGTGTGTGAGTGTTTTGTGTTCACAACGATTACGTGGGTCATGCATTGCAGGAGCGAAGGAAGTTCGGTCCGTTGGGTTGGAACATTCTGTATGAGTTCAACGAGTCGGACTTGCGGATCAGTGTGCGACAGCTGCGCATGTTCTTAGAAGAATACCCTGACTCTGTAAGGCTCTGAATTGCTCTTAGTTTTCTGGTATAGTTGTTGAGAAACTGGTTGTGAGAATACTGCTTTTAGTCCTTGTGGATGTGTTGGAGAGTGGTGGAAACCTGTGTTTTGCAGCTCATGTGTGTACAGTTTTTGAGTGGGAATTGTGAAGGTTGGGATCTCAAATGTGGTGTGTTGTTTGTAGGTGCCGTATAAGGCGTTGAATTATCTCACTGGTGAATGCAACTATGGAGGACGAGTGACTGATGATCATGATCGCCGAACTTTGGTTACTATCCTTGCATCATTCTATGCTCCGGATATTCTTAACCATGACTTTTCTTTCTCAGAGAGTGGATTGTTTACAGCTCCACCAGATGGTAATATATATATATATATATATATATATATATGTTGTGCTATTCAGTTAATAAACTGTTGAAATATCTAGTTAAGAGTAGAGCCTGTTATTATTAGTATGAATACAAGTGAGGAGCCCTCATAATCATTACTGGATTGATCAGATTTTCTGTCATTAAACAGCATTTCCAGCATAAATCAAACTTATCTTATTGAAATGTTGAAATGTATGCATACAGTAGTTTAATAAGCACAGTAATAAAATGTGCGTGAAAATAAAAGTAAAAAACCGGACCTGTGTGTCAGTCCAGTGTTAATAGTTGCGAAACTAAATATTGTTTTGTAAATATTTTGACTCAGACTGAAACATTGTTTGTTGTATGTATCACAGGGGATTACAATGATTTCCTTGAATTCATTAAAAAATTACCAGCGGCACCTCAACCTGAAGTGTATGGATTCCACAGCAATGCTGACATCACAAAAGAAAACACAGAAGTGAACCGTCTTTTGGCTTCACTGTTGCTTGTAGTTCCGATGGAGGATAACAAAAAGAAAGGGAAAAGGGAGGAGGAAGAAAAAGAAAGAGAAAGAGCAGCAGCAAAAGATAAAGAAAACGAAGCAGTGAGTACTACAAAAGAGGTTAAAGACAAAACAGAGAAAGAAATCGGTCCAATGACATCTGAAGAAGTGATGCAAAGCATATCAATTGATATTCTTCAGAAGTTGCCAAATAATTTTGATATTGAACAAGCTCAGATAAAATACCCAACTACGTATTACCAGTCCATGAACACCGTGTTGTGCCAGGTGAACATTTTACTAGACCACCTCTTGAAATGTGACACGGGTTATATTTAAATATATCAAATTAAAACAAAACTATCTTATTTATGTGTTTTTTAAATGAAAATTTCATTTTTTTACTATAATTCCATGTTGAGATTTAAACATGGAATTATAGTAAAAACTTAAATTACTATTTTCTTGTAAGAATGACAAATGATCTAATTATAAAACTTAAATGAGTCTTTACAAGAAAAATAGTAAAAACTTAAGTGAGTCTTTTCTTATAAGAATGACAAAGTAGTAAACACAAAATCAGATAGTTTCCAACTATTTCAACTTGGAATGATATAATTATGCTGGCTAATAAACACATTGATTGGTCTGTATATTTTTCTATATTTGTATATACATACATACATATAATTTAAAAGATTATAGAAATGGTAATTGTTGGTTAAATTTTTAAAAATGATGTTTCTTACATGAAAGTTTATTTGACAGATTCATGTTCAAAAATCATACACTTATCTAATTCTTAAATAGTGATTATAACTCATAAATGAGAATTACACACATATCATGAGGTTGATGATTGTTACGATGTACCGATCGGGCTGAATGTATCACATGATAAAGTAATTGAAGGCGTTTAATTTCCCCCCCCTTTTTTTTTTGTTTGCTTTCTTTTCAAAAGATTTAAACATGGGACATTTATGTTTCAGGAACTTGAAAGATTTAACAAGTTGTTGACCATCATTCGAAACAGTTTGTTGGAATTACAAAAAGCAGTTAAGGGATTCATTGTTATGAGTGCTGAACTTGAATTGTGTGGGAGGACATTAGTTATTGGACAAGTGCCAACTATGTGGGCCGCCAAATCTTATCCTTCCAAGAAACCTTTAGCCAGTTATATTGCTGACTTAATAGAACGTATTGCATTCCTTCAATCATGGGTCACCAAGGGTGCACCCATCGTTTATTGGTTATCAGCATTCTTTTTCACACAGTCTTTTCTAACTGGAGCCAAGCAAAATTTTGCACGGAGCCACAAAATCCCAATTGATACAGTTGATTTTGAATTTGAGATTCGTGAACATCCGGTAGTTTTTACTTTACATCAATGTTGAGAAAGTAAATTTAATCTATTTGCTTCCTATGGTTGAGAAGATGAATGAACTTGACTTGTAAACGTCGCAATAAGTTTTGATTCTCAATGTGATGATGTTTCATTGTGACTTGTCAAATGGGTTTGTATTGTTAGAGGAAAGTAGGAAACATAAACTTTCAGTTATTTGTTTACCTTTCTATGCATTTATCCTTGTAGACATCAACGTAATTGTGCTTGTAGGACGCTTTGACTGAACCACCTCAAGATGGGGTTTACGTGAAAGGGCTTTACCTAGAAGGAGCAAGATATGATTACACAATTCACGAGCTCGGTGAATCACTTAACAAAATTCTCTTTTCAAAAGTGCCAATAATATGGATGGTTCCTGGTGAGATTAAGAACTTCAAGGCTTATCCACATTATCTGTGTCCATTGTACAAGACAAGTGACAGAAGAGGCATTCTATCCACAACTGGACATTCTACAAATTTTGTCATGGAGGTGAAATTACCTTCCTCAAGACCACAGGCCCACTGGGTCAAACGAGGCGTAGCTATGCTAACCCAGCTTGATACTTGAATAAGATACGAATGGAAGATAGAGGGTTCCATGCAGAATCAAAACCAGATCGGTATTTCCTTAACTTCCAGTGTAATCTGCACTGGATCAGAAAAGTTTCAGATTAAGAAATCTGGATGCACTTCGGATCTACAACTATAATTTTTGAGACATAGAAGAGATAGTGCAGAATTATTTGCTAGGGGATTGTAGTCTGCTCTCTGTGATGATTATAATGTGAATACACCAAGATTAATCCTATGTAAAACTTCAGATTCTACATTTGAGAGAGTACTTTCAGTTTATCTGTGAGCAAGTTTACTGCTACTTGAGTGTGAGATACATGTTCTTTTCACCACAGCTGCAAGATTGTCCTCTTCAATGCAGCAGTTACTTAGGATGGCTTCTTTTACCACACTACGCTATTCCCTAATAAAGCAACTTGCTAGATGTTGACAAACATAGATAGATGATATATGCAACAGGAGGCACTGTTCACGTCATATTTGTGGGGACTAACAGTCTTTGCTTGAAATTCAGAGGCTAAGGCTTTGGACTGCCACCTTAATTCTGGCTGTTACGTACGAGATAGACTTCTTTAGGATCATGGTACTTCAAGAGTTAGTTCCATTCACAAGAATAAGCAACTCACTAGGATATTGTTCTCCTTGTAGTTATTTTTCATGTTTTGGGCATTACCTAGAGCAGGTACTCATCAAGTTGATAGTAGGCAGTGAGGCACTCTTTGTAAGAAAGAAGCAAGAGACTTTGACAAACTGGCATGCTCTTGGACCCAAGGAAATAATTATACCATTTTATTAAGATGGCTGCAGATATCAAGAATACCAACCAAGCACAACTGCTATTTGAGACAAATCAAAGTATCAGAAAAGTCCAATCATGTAACTGTTTCCCACAAATACATCACGGTTTCTGGACAGAGTTACGAACTTGCAAAGGATAGAGAGCATTTTACTTGAACCTTCCCTTCTTAGAAATGAAACAAAACACCCTTCCATGCACAAAGATTTCAACCAACTCATACTATTGAAAGGGCAGGATTGACAAATGGTCAAACAATGAATTAAATATGAAACACCATCAACATTACAGTGACACTCAGCTTCCATTCGCCAATGTTAGGAGCTTTACTGAGACATCACTGAACAGAGTTCAGCACGAGCGTTTTTCACTTCTATCAGTGTGTGGGGTGTGAAAGGTACCGAATTACAAGAAGGAGAAGATTTACCAGTCACACGCCTCACGGGGCTGGCTGCATAGAATAATGGACCCCAACAGTCTGCTCGATTGTACTCAGGATCAGATGAGTGGAAGTGCACCCACACAGTGCTTGCATAGAGTTCTACACACAGCAGGTTAAAGAGAAAGAAGAGTCAGCATGTGAAGGCATAACCAATTCTATAACAACTTGAATGTCCTCATTCTGTTCACATATCTAGTCTAAATAACAGACCATGACGATTGGCAACAATAAAGGTCTCAGTCCAAATTCTAGAATACAACAGGCCGAAATGTGATGAATCAACACATAAGATAAGCATCCCTGATCTTAAATAAATTATGCACGAGTCATCAATAAACATTTTGACTTAGCTAGCTTGGTTGAGTCGTTGTCAACAGCAACGCATCTCTCATCTCTCTAGATATGCAAATACATCCTCTGTTGCATGCAAACAGCTTCATCATTCTAAAGAAATACACTATAATGCAAACAATTTCATGCAAGGCTTAGCATAATAACTGCATAATGCAGAAATGATCACCTGGAAATACATCAAAAAGATCTTTATCTCCGTGACGAATTGCTTCCAGAACCTGCATTCCAATCATCAAAAGAAGATTCGATATTAGAACTGCATGATAAACACCAAAACCATATATGCAGGTTGGGATACCTGGTAACTTTGAGGGCCAGATCAAGCCAACGAAGGAAACATTCAACCCAATACGACCATTCACTACCCAATGAAATCTACCATGTGAACCACAGAGTATATCTAAGGTAATCCTTGCTAAGAATCTTTATGTAATATTTGTACGCCTACCTCAGTACACCACTGCGGCAGGTATACATCAGTTATCACAACTACACAAAAGTCACCTAAAATTGTCGACCACCAAAGCCGACATACATGGAGTGTGCACTTGTTTGGAACTCAAATGGATAGAGAAAGTGATAAATTCCTAATAAGTTGAACTGAGAGGCTTACTCCACTCATCTTCATGATTCACTAACTGCTGAAGCAAAAACAGTGTCACAACGAAGCAAAAAGAAACTGAATACAGACACTACCAGAACATCGTATGCATGCCCGCAGAAATTTACACCAACACCAGCTATTCCATTTCCACAACTTCCGGATTGAAAACTGACCAGAGGCATTTCTCGCTCGAAGATGCTATTTCGAAGAGCGGCTGGTGCAAGAAGGACATGCCCTCCACTGACATGGCAGTGCACATGGAGAGAAATCTGCTCACTTCCTCTCCACTCTGCTACAATTTCATCCCTCATCAGCCGTGTATACCAATCTGCCAACTGTACCAAATTCATCAACATCAATATTGCACTGGCACACACTTCACCGCATCGCTGAAGGGTTCGACAAATAAAAAAAGAAATTGCTTTAGAAAATAACGGGAACGTTGTTACGGATATCTCACAACATGTAAAGTAAATTCTCATCTTACAAGATACGCTACGATTCTTGAAACAGAAAACTATGTATGATGTTTTGCTAGTCCACCTTAAACCTGACAGAGCAACCCCAAAAGCATTCGACTTCATTATTGCACTCACTTGTTGTTGATTAAGAGAGGGGCCGATAGACAAAAGCAAATCTCCTGTAACATCGCTGTGTGTTAAAGTATACTTGCGAGGTAGAATATCCCCCACAGATTTAGCTTTTATATCTTTTGCGTTCCCTTCAAATTTTACAGTCAACTTTGACGGATCGAAATCCTCCGGATTGAATAACCTCGCAACCTTACAAACAGGCATAATTTCGATGGCAACATCAGATCACGGGGAATATAAAATAAGCAAGTGTAACCTCGACCCTTTGTAACAATAGATAAACTTAAGACTCCGAAAGAAGTTGTATCACCAACTAAGAAAAACCAAAACAATAATAAGTTCAGAGTACACGTCACTAAGCTCAGGGTATTTAGGTGTCAGATGGCTACTCTAAAGAACACAAAGCCTCATCTCAATCATCATAAAGTCCAATCATTACCAAGATCAGGCACAAGACCGAGATGACTACAGTTGTTACATAAAACGAGAAGATGAGGTTTTGAGCTTGTTCAGGGCTACATTTACGAGATGAGAGTTGAAAAACAGAGGTTGACAGCGAACATTTGATTTCTCTAAAATTGTGTCCCTAGCTGTACTTCCAGGTGAGAGAATACAATCAGAAAAACTGATATACAAATCAGAGCACGCGTTTTGAAACGGCGCATCTTCGAGGAAAATATTCGTCATTAAGTTTAACCTCTGCGTCCATCCTTGCAGGAAAAGGGCTCGTCTCTCTAAGCCATACCCATCTCTAGCATTGTCAATGCACATGAAATCAAAGAACGTCCTGTCTGTATACATTCATAGCATTAAGCATTCTGCGGTGTAAACTTCGATCTACAAGAGCAAGTTATCAGGCAAACTCTCAAACTATCCGCCCAAATAATCCTAATTGTGGTCCACATGCTCAATTGTCTTCAAGTGTGCTGAGCAACGCCCGCAAAAAGTTATGATTAAACTCGCTTCTACTTGACATCAATTGAGCACTATGCATTCTCCCACAACTGTCTTGATAAGCAATCTAATCCGCATCTAATAACATGAATATCTACAAACTGCGAAGAAGCAATTTCTACCAATTGCTAGTGGCCTCTTAAACGACTTATACCTATCCAAATACGTGTCCTATGTATAAAATTCCGAGATGTTTCAGCATGTTCCAATCCTGTTGCTAGTTTTTCAGCAATCGATTCTGACAACCAGGCACGCGATTGTACACGTCTAAAATCATACAGTTGTATGCATAGTCAAAGTTAACCATCTGAACGTTCGAGATAAACCTAAAGAACGTTTTCATTAAAAATGAGATAAGACGGAATTCTAAGAGAGAATACTCAAACATCTGCACAGGGGGCGCATAATTGACATCGCTAAATGAATGAATTAATTCAGCGTGTTAAACTAGCATTAACACTGATATTAAATTGACATTCTTAAATGGATGTGATAACTCGGTATAACTAGATGAACCAGCATATTGCAGCGCACGCGAAATAATGAAGCCGCTGTATTACTCACACAACAAGTCTCATAGAATTCGTTCAGAACAATGTAGAGCACCCTGCTTCTTGGAGCCTACACCTCGATTCTATATAGATTGCTGAATAACTAAGCGATTTCTCGCTCACCCTCGTTATCTAGAATTCGAACTCAGTGTGAATCATTTCTTGGCATCATGACAAGAATGTTCAGAAGAACGACCTCGGCGATGATTTCAAATTGACATGCAGCATAAGCTACCCGCCGCGGTGATAATGTTTTTGTAACAATGCCGCAACAGCGATAACTACAGAAAAGAAAAATCTCTGAATAGGTCGAAAAGAAAAGAAAAAAACAGAAACCAGTACATCCATCATCTTACCACTGCACACCTTCTAAACTGCTGCCTACCGCAACACGCCGCGCTTCCCCTCCCGCTCCTGAACCCCCGCCCCTGGCGTTGAAATCCCGAGTACTCCACCACCTTGAGCGACAACTGTCCGCGCTCCTGACAACTAGAAACCACAGCCACACATTTCCCTCCCCGCAGCGCGGTCACTCTCCTCGGAGTGGACACGATCGTCACTCTAACGCGTGACGATGGCGATAATGACACAGCCATGACCTCTCATACTTCTTCTTCCTCTTCTTCTTAGGAGAGAGGAAGTCGACGACGACGACTCAGTACCACACTCCGCCTGCTCGCTCTCCTCTGGTCCGCCATTGTCACATCCTCCGAATCGTCATGCTGCAAACCTAAGCTCCAGGGTGAGAATGGACTAAGGGAAATAATCGTCACAGGAATACAACGGCGACCACAAGAACGAGCGAGCGAGCGAGACACCGACGACACAAATGATTCTAGCGGCTCCGAATGGAGCAGGAGGATGATGGTAATGGGGATGATGATGAACGGTGATGATGCTGCATCGAGGCCAGTAATGGGATATCTAATTATCTGGGCCCGATCCATCGCTTGGCCATGGTATAATCTGCTTCCCGCTATCCGATCGCCACCTGGCGTGGCTTCATTGGTTCTTGACGTCCAACCACCCCCCTTTCGAATTTTGGGTTCAATCTCTCGCTTTATCTCCTTGGTCCGAGGTTCGGGTCCCGTCGAAGCTGCACCTCACGCTTGGGATTAGCTTCGATTTACTTGGTTCGGGAAAGCCCTGGTGTGGACTGCGCGGGCACCCATGCCCGCCCCTCCTTTTTTCTGTTTATTTTTTTGATTGGACAATTTAATTCAACTCCAAATAAATATGTTCGTAGGAGAATGTTAAATAGACTCAGGTTTTTACTTAAATTGACCCAGCTATCTAGACCATCATTGCACCTCCCCATTCTGTACATTCACTTGGATGCGAATACCATGGGTTCTCTGGTGGAATCTACCCCAAGTCCTCTTGTTTGACGAACTGGGTTCGATGTTGAAACAGTGAGAGCCTCGCAGCACTGTGTGTGTATTCAGCCTAATTGTCGTCGTTTCAGTGGAGGATTAGAGTGATCAGCAAGCAGTGGGGGGAATGATGGAGCGTGCGTTGATTAGCTTGATCGAACCCACTCGGAATGATAGAGAAGCGTTTCCGAGGACAATGATCAGTCACAGAAAAGATGGAGCCAATAAGGGATTTGTTCATCATGTTCGCCATCTGTATGAAGAGGTAATAAACATGGCAGAAACTTCGTCGTCACTTGTTGTTTACCAAAAGTCATCTCCTCCATGCTTCCGAAAACTGTAGTTAAAGTAACCCATGTGAGGAACTGTTCGTAAACTAACGATCCCATCGTTTTAACGTTCATACTGGTAAAGAAAAATCGAACACCCCCTTTGAGATCATGGCGTCGGCCTCTTTGCAACCAAATATTTCCAGCCGCTGCTGCTGCTGCAGCCGGTGGGTCTGTACCCAAGCAGGTATCAATCAGCAGACTTCTCACCACCTCCATCGTTGTTGCTCCTGCTGCTACTGCTGCTGCTGCAGTGCTATGAGAGCAGAGCATGCCTTGATCTCGATCACGATCTCCATCTCCATCGCTCCGAGTCACTGCCCAGGCGCTGTAACTTTCAAGGTTGGTCTCTCATCTACATCAATCAGCCTGGCTCCACAGCTTGGCGCAGTGCGCTCGTGTACATGGTGTACCTCGTACGTTGCAATTATCTAATGTTTTGTGAGGGACTGAGTTTCAAATTATATTTTCTTCTCTCAAAATGCGAAGTGGTTGTCAGAGTCGCTCAGACATCCTACTCAAGACAAGATGGTTCTTGGACACATATGCTTTTTTATTATCTCTTCTTATCCTTATTCTTATTATTTCATTTTTTCTTTTTTACATTCTTTTTTTGAGGTGCAGGATTCAATCATATTATTCCTTCTTTATACCAAAATTTTCATAGAATTAGGAGTACTTTACATTAAAAGTTGAGGTGAACCAAAGTTGAAGCCTTCAAAAATAGTTTTTAAAGTCTTAAAATAATATATATATATATATATATATATACATGGCTCCAAATTTGATGTCTGACTTGCAAAATAAATGGTAACTTTTTTTAACCTTGGGAGTATGTTGGACTTAGTCATTGGTTTATTATTTAGAAACATATAAGAAAATAAATAAATAAATTATAAAATATATTTAAACATATAATTATTAAAAAATTGGATTCAGATTTTGTGTCATACCTTTATAAATTTCAAATCAATGTCTACTCCTGACATGAAGTGCCCATAAGGTTTCAGCATCGAAGTCAAATTTGAAAGAATGTTTGACATTGTCAAACATTGAAGTTGAATATGAATAACACCCTTAGTGAGAAGAAATTGGAGCTCAAGAGCATTCAAACGGTCTCTATCATTCCAAAATGTAAGCTATTATTTACCCTAATTTTACTACTTTTACATTGAATTGAGTGCACCGATTTTAAGTGATTTTTCATGCACAGGGATGAATATGGAAGAGGTTGGGGATAGATATACTTTGGAAAAATGTACGTCAAGAAACACAGCCTGTCTTTTTTAATAGAATAGAACTTGGGTAAGCAGTTGATTATAGGTTTTATATTTAACAAATTTTACATTCCTAAAATTACCCATATTTTTAAAATTTTGGTAAGATTATGCATTGTTATTTATACCAAATTTGAGATTTGTTAGAAGTTGAGTACAAATATGTAAGTTCATTCAAATAATAGGAATGTCACAATATTTATCTAATTTAAATTTAATATTTTTCTGTGATTTTAATTTTGATTAATCCTACTCATGATAATTTTTTTTGTCTAAATCATCTTTTTTAAAATATTAATTATTTTTGATATATTAGACAATGAAAGTTATGCTATTTTTATCAAAAGTGAATGCAAGAATAATCACATGTATGGGAATAATAAAAATGAATGTTAAGGCTTGTAATAATAAAGTTCAAACCTCACTTTACAAACTAAAAACTAATTTTCTATCTTTTCCATTTTGGTGGAATTTATTTATTTTGTGTAAAGTTTAAACTAAAATAGAATCCATCTTAAATGAGACATGAGTTCCTACAATATGCTTCCACTAGAAAAAAAAAGATTCCAAAAGATTACTATGAATTTCATAATTACTTAAATTAATTTCAAATAATATACTACTTTATTACATTTTTGTATCAGCTACTAGCTTAAAGAATTGAAATTATATTTATATATATATATATACATAAAACTACACAGTTGTAAATAAAACTACAGAATTGAAAATGACTGCGAAAGAAAAAGAGAAGAAACAGAAAAACTGTTGAGAGTATGAAATGTAGCCGACACTCTCCATAATATTTATTGTAGACTATAGTAAATATTATAGCTATAGTATTTAGAGTCTAGTAGATAAGAATTGTTTATCCTCTCCCCTTTTTTTTCTTGTATATGAGACATAACCAGATCAATAGATTTTTATGTGTGATGCTCTCTCTCCTTAGAAATCTTCTTGTGTATATGACTTACTACTACTCTTGTTTGTATGTATTACTTACTACTACTTTTGTTTGTGTGTATTACTTACTACTACTCTCATTTGTGTGTATTACTTACTACTACTCTTGTGTCTTTCTAAATATTCTCAATACGTTATCAGCACGACTCTCTTCTACATACTATCACAATTTTTTTTTTGCTCTAGACTTGACTATTCAAACCTATTGCTATTCTTGCTCAGTATCTACCTCATGACCTTGCTGCTCTTCTTGCTAGCCCCTCACACATTAACTACTTGCTTAGATCACTTGTTTCACTCTCTGCCCTACTTGCTTAGAATACTTGCTTAGAATACTTGATTCAGCCCAGCTCCATACTAGCTTGCTCCCTACTGCGCCTTATGCCAAACTGTCACGGACACAAAATACAGACTTGAAATCTAACAAGAAGTTCAAGAAGAAGTGACAGAACTAGATTAAATAGATGAGTACAAGAACAACACTAGAAAGGTGAGCTAGAACTCCAAGAGATGTGTTGTCGAGACTGAAGAACTCTTCAACCTCGATCCCTATATATACTCCTACTTAGGAAGCTTCTCGAGCTACTTCTATTAACTAGGAAGCTTCTAGAAGGTTCTAGAGGCTTCCTTTCTAGAAGGTTCTAGAAACTTCTCGAGCTACTTCTATTAACTAGGAAGCTTCTAGAAAGTTCCAGGGGATTCCTTTCTAGAAGCTTCTAGAAACTTCTCTTCTAGAAGGTTCCAGAGACTTCCTTTCTAGAAGCTTCTAGAAACTTCTCTCTAAAAGGTTCTAGAGGCTTCTCTTCTAGAAGGTTCCAGAGGCTTGTTTTCTAGAAGGTTCTAGAAACTTCTCTCTAGAAAGTTCTAAGGAATATGTCCCTAACATCACCCCCTCCTTTAGCTTCGAGGTCTCTGAGAAGCAATGTTGTTGATCAGTACCAACGCAAGAAAATGAAGATCTGTCGCGTAACTTCTGCTATGAACTCCAACTGTTGTTCACGAGGCAAGTGGTTCATCGACCCTTGAAGCCAACGGTAGTGGCCCACGCCTTCGACTTCTGACCAAGCATGAATTTCCGTATCCTCATTGTGAAATTGTCCTGCAAACACGCCTTCTGGTTGACCATCGTAAGGAGGCTCGATCTCAAATACAATCACCAGTGATCGGTTACTCGGTATCCTCCGTCGTCGTCGTGGTACATGTAGTTCTTCATCTCGGGGTCGCCTTCGTGAGCTACTCGGTTGCGATACTTTGACTGGCATAGTATCTATCTCTTGGCTATCCATATCAAAAGACCAAACTACGATATATCTTGGAGAAAATAACTACATCAACTATGAATTTTGCTGGTGCTCTCCCTTTTTCTTATATTGTTGGGAGAACAAGCTTCAGAAAGAAGCTATCATCGAATTGATTTAGGTTTATCGGGATGTCGTTGATAAAACTCCTGTACCTTTTGTGGCGCATTCGCAAGATTTTCAGCTGGCTCCCACGTTCGCTAATTAATGTCATAGCCGCACCAATGAATAAGATATTCTAACTTTTTCCACCTTCGCCGTGAATCCAATACCTTTTCAACCTCGTATTCTTCGTGGTTCTCGATTTCAATACTAGGTGGCGGACATTGCACTCTTCCAAGAAAAGATGACTCTCGATAAGGTTCCAACAGAGAAACATGAAAGACTGGATGTACCTTCATAGAAGCCAGTAATTCCAGCCGGTATGCCACTGGATTAATTTGCTTCTGGATGATAAATGGTCCCAATCTTCGATAGTCCAACTTATCACATGGTCGCTTGGTCTTGATATTTCATCGAAGAAGCCAGGCTTTGTCTCCAACTTTAAAAGTAGGTGCTGGATTCCGAAATCTATCTGCAGACGTCTTATAGGATTCTTGAGCGGATTGTAATTGAAGCTTTAACATAGTTTGAAGCTCTGATAGTTGCTTCGCAAATCCTTCAGCT